ACTTTCGAAACCGGGAACCCTGGTTGTGTCCACAGTGTGACCCTCCCCCGGCCTGGACCTTCCTGTTGGATGAGTTAGCACAACTGTTAGGAAGATCATCCCGGTAACAACTCACATGCCCACCAACCAGTGAATGGAGAACAAAATGGCATATCCAGTCCTAAAAAGAACCAAGTACTGATTCATGTTACAAGAGGGACAGACCTAGAAAACATTATACGAGATGGGAAAAGCCAGCACAAAAGGTACACATATTACCTGATTCCATTTATATAAAATACCCAGAATAAGCAAATTCACAGAGGCAGAAAATAGATTAGGAGGGGATTAGGAGATTAGGAGCTGGCTCTGTGTGGGGAGGGGGGGGTGTTGGAGGGGTTTCTAGATAAAGACTTTTTAATTCACTCATCTAACTATGAGATCCAATATTTTTTCAATCATGTTTTGTATCTCCAAAGATGCCTCGGGCTTCGCTGGTAATCTCCTTGCAGGGCACATGCTTTTGCTATTCCTCTGCCTTATCCCCTAAATCTCACCGCAGAGATTGGCTTCACACGCGCACCAGCTCCGATTCTCAGCCGTCCCTCCTCCTCTCTGATGAATTTCTTCGTGTGTCTGAAGACTTCTCTCAGGAATGAGGTAAAGATAGGTCAATGCCAGTAACCAAGAGTGAGCGTCATTAACGACTAGTGGCGTCCCTGGCCTGCGGGAATCGGGCCGAAATGGGCAGTCAGACATCCCCAGAGGAGATCCAGACTGTGAGAGGGCTCAGGCCAGGCCGAGGGCGGGGCGAGGGCGCAGGACAGGGGTGCATGGCGGGGTGGGGGGGCATGAATATGAATCCATGGCTTTGTCCGGGCCTCTAGTGTGCATGTAAGATCTTTGGTTAATCTCTTCCCACCCTCTCCAAACCCCCTTCCCTCTGAGATTCATCATTATGTCCATCTTTCCATGCCTGTGCGTTGAGCGTTTGGCTCCTGTTGGTCAGTGTGCATCATAGCTACCAATCAAATGTTCAAACAGTCCAGTGGTCAACACTTGGCATATTAAGCTTTTATTATACATGAGTAGAGGCCCAGTCCCTCAGCCGGCCTGCACCCTCTCCTAGGACCCCTCCGGGGATGTCAGACTACCAGTTTAGGTCCTTGAATGTGACATCCCTCTCACAATCCGGCACCACTGGCTCCTAACCACTTGCCTGCCTGCCTGTCTGGTCACCCCTAACTGCCTCTGCCAGCCTGATTGCTGCCTAATCCCTCCCTGTCAGCCTGGTAGCCTTCAACTATTCTCCCCGATCAGCCTGATGGCCCCAACTGCCCTCCCCGGTCAGCCTGATGGCCCCCAACTGCCGTCCCCTGCTGATCTGCTCTGCCTGGCTTTGTCTGGAAGGAAGTCGGATGTCTGATCATCCTGTCTAATTAGCATATTACCCTTTTGTTAGTATAGATTCCCCGAATTGATGGGTTGATCATTAGATTGCTTGTCATCTAACTGACCCTCAGAAGCAGTTAGACAGTATGTGGAGTGTCATCTTCCGTCTGTGAAAACCCTTCTATGTTGTAGCTGCTCCCGCCCCCTTACCTTTCCACCTCCTCTGCAATTGGATACTTCACAGGGACTGACAGCACCCTCACTCCGCCCCTGCAGGCAGCACTAAGCTCAGGACCACCCCCTGTTCTGCACTCACTGGTCCTTGTCTCAGTCCTCACTGGCCCTACAGACCCTATGGGGTTCAGGGAGATGGGAGGAGGGGGAATCCTTTTACCGCTCTCTGGCCAACGTCTTCTCAGGCTCATGGCCAACTGGTCACCCAGCTGTAGCCACAGCCTCTTCTCCTGCCTCGGGGTAGGAGGGGACAAACGGCAGACACATGGCCCAGCTGCCGCACAGTCAGGTTCCGCCCACCCCCAGGGCAGGGCGAGGCCGAAGCGCAGCTCCGGAGAAGGCGATGGGGGAGCAGGAGGGGCTGCCAGCTGGGAAGCAGCACGCGCCCCAGCCGCCGCCACCCCCTGCACCCCTGTCCTGCGCCCCCGACCCCCCCTGCACCCCTGTCCTGCGCCCCCGTCCCCCCCTGCACCCCTGTCCTGCGCCCCCGTCCCCCCCTGCACCCCTGTCCTGCGCCCCCGCCCCCCCTGCACCCCTGTCCTGCGCCCCCGCCCCCGTCCCCGCACCCCCCCGCACCCCTGTCCTGCGCCCCCGCCCCCCCCCCCCTCACCCCTGGGACCAGCATTTGAGCACAGCAGCGTCCTCCGGGCCTGAGCAGCCACCCTCCAGGACCTCCCTCCTCTGCCCACCCAGCGCCGCCTCAGCCCTTCCAGGGAGGGACCCAGGCTCCCACAAGCTCCTGGCAGGGGCCCAATGGCCCCATATCGTTGCCATGGTGATGGTGCTAAGGCACAAGCTGGTCTTCACTCTCTCCAAAATGAAAATGCCACCTGGCAAGCTGCCCAGTGGTTAGAGCATTGACGCACAGACTGAAAGGTTTGATTCCAGGTCAGGGTTGATTCCCAGTGGGCGGCAACCAATTGATGTCTCTCTCTCACATTGATATTTCTCTCTGTCTCTCCCTCTCCCTTCCACTCTTTCTAAAAATCTTGGGAAAATATCCTTGGGTGAGATTTAACAACAACAATTAAAATGTTTCCTGGTTTCTCATTTGCTTCAAGACAAATGCAGTTGGTCACAAAAGGTCCCTCTAGACGAGGCCTCTGCCAGCCCCTGCGCCTCCTGACCTGTGCTGAGCCTGGCACGGCCACACCCTCCAGCGCAGGCAGACGTCTTTCCCTCCAGGACAGGACGCACTCACAACAGTCAAGTGACGACCCAAGCAAACCCATTACCCCAGCTCGGCCGGCGTGGCCAGCGGTGGAGCATTAATCCATGAGCCAGGAGGTCACAGTTGGATTCCGTCAGAGCACACGCCCGGGTTGTGGGCTTGATTCCCAGTGGGGGCCTGCAGGAGACAGCTGAGTAATGAGTGTCTAGTCTCATCACTGATGCTTCTATTGCTCCCTCTCTCTTCCCCTCTGAAGTCAATAAAAATATATTGAAAGAAAATTCGTTACTCCAGGTGGTAAATGTTTACTAAGTAACTAATGGTGCCTCAGCACTCTGAGGGAACAGAGAGGCGAACACCCCCCTCCCCCCCGGGGCATGCCAGCCCCACTGGCCTTTGGCACCCATGGGTTACACATATGTGGGCTCAACCAATGAGTGGATCAAAAATACTTGAAAGTTACAATGTTGCTGACATGTATGCAGTTAGGCCTACAAAGAGCATAGTGGTGTCCATACTGAACATGTAGACTTTGTGACTATTCCCTAAGCAGTACAGCAAACAACTAGAAACACAGCACTACATTGTATTGGGAATTATAGGCTTTCTAGAGATGGTTTAAAGTACATGGGAGCACGTGTGTCGACTGTATGTCACTTCATATAAGAAACTTGAGCATCTGCAGTTGTGGTCTCGGGACAGGCTTTCTGGGGACCGGAAGTGGGCTGGGACGGCAATGCCTTGAGGGGGATGGGAGTGGCCGGCAGGAGCGCTGAAAGGTAAGAATGTGCCTCTGGGTGTAGTCAGACCGCACTTGGGCACAGGGCATTGCTAAATGAGTCTGGACTTCCATTCTGAGTGGGACAGAAAAGGGCCCCCGCCCGCCAGGCCCTCTCTGAAGGAAGGAGGCCAACACCCGGCACTGGCCCTGAGGCCCAGGGGCTGCAGTGCCCGCCCTGCAGAGGTCTGACAGCAATGCCCTTCACCCAGACCTCCCGCCTCCTTTAGAAAAACGAAGCCGTTAGCCCAGGGTGCCATCCCTGAAGGCTGTGGAGAAGAGGGCGCTGGGCCGCGGTCACCGCAGGAGGCAGACCCTGCGGCTCTGGGAGAGGGTGGCCCTCGCCTCCCTGCGTGCAGCAGAGAACATTGTCCGGGGATGGGAAGCATGGCGAGGACCAGACCCAATCAAGGCTGAATCTAGAAGGTTCCACATGAGGTAGCCCCAGCGCACGGAGGCAGGTTATCTATGAGGTGACTGGCACAGGGCTGCAAAAAGGGAACCAGACCTCCCACCCCCACCCCCGAGAGGAGAGCAAAGAGCCGCCGTCCCAGTGAGAGGAGGGCGCTGGGCGGGACAGGCAGCAGCACATCCCGAGGGTCAGCCCGGCTTTCTCCTGGAAACCTGCCAGGAGGTGTGGTCACTCGGGTATTTGAGAGTAACCCTCCGAATTCTGTGGAAACAACGTTCCAAATATATTTGCTTAGCTATTCAACCTGTGTATTTCATGGCATCAAACTTCCGCATGATAAAGCTTCTCGCAGTCCGTGGACTGCATTGGTGAACTCCTTAATGAAACCTAAAGCAAAATCCTCCCGCTGACAACCCGTGTGTGGTGCTGCGCGCTGGGCTTTCACACACGCGGCCACTCGCCGTCCTGGGTGAGGAGCCTCCCTGCCCCACCCCAGGCCGCAATGCCAGGGACCTGCACGCTTCCCGGAAACGGATGCTGCACTCTGCTGGCAGCTAACTGCTCCGGCCAAGCCCGCCACAGGAGTGCGACCCCCGGCGGCCACAAGAGGCATGGCATCCTCAGCAGGGAGTCCGGCGGGGAGGACGGAGCTGGGAACTCCAGAACAGAAGAGAGAGGGCCCGGAAAGGGAAGGTGCCTTGGCCGTCGTCTCCTCCCGTCGCAGAGTGCGGCAGGAGGGAAGAACAGGAAGCTGGCGAGTCCGCTGGGCCCGGATTACAATGTGGAGTTCTCTGGAGCAGGTGGAGTTACCCGTGGAGACATGGATGCTAATCCTTGACTGTAAAAGTTAAAAAGCATGGATGTGACCTTTTGTTTTAAAAATTTACAGAGTATCTGCATGCAACTTACTTTCTTCACTTAACAGTACAATTTTAAGGCATTTTGTATATATCAGTGTGGTACCGATATGTTTCATTTCCAAGGTTAATCAACACCAAAAAATGCAGTTTGGCAGGGGGAGAAAGTAGTATGACTTGAAGGGCATCGTGTAATAAATTTATTGTATTTTGTTACATTTTCCACTTTTCCCTTAATTCCAACTGTATGCAATATAATCAACTGCTGTTCCAGAAATAACTTTTTAAACATAAAAATATAAATTCTGCTTCTCGAAAGTGCATACACTTTGAATAGTAAGACACACAGATAAATAACAAAGTCAGTGGCACATCTCATGCACTTGCTCTAAAATAACTTAAAAGGGATGACACACGTCTCGGCCTCAGGAAGACCCTCCCTCCCATGACTGCGGCTAAGGAAACAGCACAGAGCATGCGTGCGTGGACAATACCGAGCCGCCCGGAGTCTGTGCCGGCAGCTCCGGGGCAGGCCAGCAGCCCGTGTGCAGCGGGGCGGCCGGGAGACAGAGCCGTGATGGGAGCTCAGGGCAGCCCGTGGCGGGAGGCAGAGGGGCGCCTGGCCTCGCCCAGGCAGAGTAGCACCTAGGGAACTCCCGTCTCTTCCTCCCTGCCAGCAGGCTCACTGCCCGCCTCGTCAGGGAGCCCGCCAGCCGGCGTGGCTTTCTGTCTCTGTGCGTGGAAACACAAACACCAGGGAACGGATGTTTTCTCCCAGCGGCAACGGTGAGATGAGCCACCCAGGCGCACAGGGACTGCTCTGAGGTCCTTGGCACGCACTCGGCTCACCAGATTAAGCTCCATCCCACTGGCTTCCATCGGTAATGTATGCAGCCAAACTTTTGGATGAGCATTAGCTGATTTATTAAAATTATATGAAAAAATACCAATGAGGGTTACAAAAGATTCCAAATAAAAATGCTTCACATTCATTTTTTAATTTAAAAATACTTCCTGAAATTACATTCTAGACAAGTAGAGAATGAGCTAAACAAGGTATTTGGAAGCAGCCTAGGGTTTGCTGTTATAATTATTACAAAGAAACCATCATTCTACCAAAATCCGGGAGTCCACCCTGGCTCTCAGCAGGACTCAACTCCGCACTCAGACACACCTGAAGCTTCAATCCACTCGGTCATTGCTGGGCCGGACCGCACTGACTGCACACAGTGTGCGAGGGGGAGGGGCGGGCTTTAAAAGTCCCCTAGACAACACCGGCTGTCCAAATCCAGAAGAGGCTCAGAGAATCCGGCGTCTGTGTGAGGCGGAGAGCCTCCCTGGTCTACTATGGATCTCACTGCCCCCAAACCCGGAAGCGCCAGGTTAAAACGAATGTGAGATGATCTAGAACTGACCCACCCTCTGATGCCACCACGATCCCACTGACCACTGCTTTCCGTAACAGCAGCTCTAAGTCTCTAAAAAAGCATTTTAAACTGTTAGCACTGCTAGAAGCCACGTTCTCTCCTTGTGACCACAGGAGATCCCTAGAGGATATAAACAATTAAAATCTATAGAAAATGGCAGGTTATTTTTAGAACATTCCTATACTTTACGAAAGTATTTAAGCTAAATACAGTATATAAACCAGTGTGTTCACCATCCCCACCCATTCCTGCTTGCAAATACTTACAGTCTTGCCAATGATCAAAAAGGTTGGCCAAGAGAAACACGTGCAAAGCAAAACAGGAGACCACATTCACGCTCTTCTACACCGATTAAACCACACTGAATAAATATAAATTTGAAAATAGAGCTCCATAATCTAAGAGTTGCCTTTAAAAAAGCGTAGTGGACCTTGTCTATGAGTGGCTTTGCATAGGTAGTAAGAGCATGCTTTCTGGGTTAGCTGCAGGCCATGCAGACTGTCCTGTCCCACGGGGGAAGCATGGCTGCTCAGGCTGCATGTGCAGCTGCAGACACACCTCTGGGCACTGAGCGAAGGCAGTGAGACTGACTATTCAACCAAAACAAAAGCTTAGCGTTTACCCCAAAATACTCCCGCAGGCTTAGCAACAATGCACCCTTTATGAACTTAAGACAGCCTGCACAGGAACAGCTACCTTTTGTGTTAACCACAGGCACTGGCTGGTCAGCAATTTTTGCTCTTTTCTATTTCAAATGATTCAAAGTTCAACCCACCTCACAGAATGTTTTATAGAAACTGTGCTTGTCACTTGGATACTATTTCAAAATTCCAACCCAGAACACTAATTATCTTTGCATCCGACAATTATAACTCCAGAAAACAGTAACGTCAGCTGCTCAGTAATTTTATCAGAATGAAAGGTGTCAATCTACTTGAAACACAGGTTTATTTTATGTAAATGAGCTCTGCTCACTGCTCTCATCAGCTCCATTTTCCTAAAGGCTGCCACTGCCGTCCTTCACATGCTGTTGCTGTGTACCGCCCCACCCCCCGCTTCAACCCCTCCCCGCAAAATCCCCACATCCATCTCATACCAACGCGGGCAACCACGTTTTCCCGTCTAAGTACGGAAACGGCTGTCTGGAAAGCGGACGCAGAGGGGCGCATCTCGGAGGTGAAGGAGGGCACTTTGGTTTCCAGAACACACTTGCTCCAGAGGACTTGGCCGAGTCAGCAGACCCTGTTCGCTCTGGCACTCGCTGAGGCTCCGGTCGATCAGCTGCGCTCCGCGGCCACAGAGACTGCTGGAGCGGCAGCTGGCCTGCACCCGCAGAGCAGGCCCTCCGCCGATGTGTCAGAACGAACGGATAACGATGGAAGCATGATTACAGGAGCTGAGGGAAGCCTCAGATGATTACAAGTCTTCACCAAAACACAAACACTCCCATCGGTCCAGCATGGTGTTCCTCTCAGGCTGCTTTTCGGGAGAAAACACAGAGGTGGGAGATGGTCTTGCAGGACATGAGCCTAACAGCCTCCGCTTGGGGAGGGACTGCGAAGGAAAGGCCCAGGACTCGGGGGTGTGGTGGCCTCAGTGCCTGGGGTGTTCCCTGGAAAGAAATCCAAATGCAATGTTTCCTAAGTGGACAGACAGGAGACCAACTCCGTGGTTGGTGGTTATTCTGTGCTCACCAGGAAATGAGTGCTCGGATGAGGCCAGAAACCCAGGCCCACAATCCTTAATAGATGATCTCCAAGCCCAAACACACGTCTGCTCATTGCGCCCGACGTCACTGGGGAAAAAACAAAACCAACACCAAGCCCCTAACCTACCAAAGACCTGAACTGAACCACGTAACCATTTCCCACACTTTACACCTCCAGGAGCACCTGCAAACTTCCGGGCAAGACAGCCTTCTCGGTGGCTTAGCGTTTGTACCTGGAGATCAGGGGTGAACTTTTCATTGCTTAAGCACAGAAATGTAACAGCTTAGAGATGCCTAGACAATGCCGTAATATTTCCTGATTTTTTCCATTTAAATCTGAAACGAGGACTAAATTCATAAGCATACAATTTTATAAATACTGAAATTTTATTTTTAGATCTCATGGAAAATTAAAGGAGTTTGTAGTGTGCTTTTTTTAAAGACACTAAACCAAATGGAAAATCCATTCCTGAAGCACTCAAGAATAAAAATATTTACCACTGTGAAAATTAAACTACTTTCCATTCATGCTTAAATCATTATTGCCCCAAAAGGTGTTCATAAAACCTGTTATGTAGCCAAACTATAATTCTAACACTTTGCAGAGATACAGATTTCAATGCGGTTTGCCTGCGAGAGAAAGAGGCGGCTCCAATCGGACGAACACCGAGTTCCCGATACTGGCGATTCCACGTTTGTGATACAGAAACCCAGTGCCAAACAGACCGGTATTCCATGTGCGGTCGGAAGCGAGAATCCCGGCAGCCGGGCACCGGCAGTCGCTGCTCCGGAGCCACAGGACTGGGTGCGGGGCACACACGCGTGCTCAGGAAATGTCGGGGAGCACTACGGCCACTTCCACAAGCGGAGTCTCAGATATCGCAAGGGTCTAAAATTCCAGCTACCCTCAACAAAAATGGCCTCCAGACTTGTGAGCTACCTGCTAATGCTCAAATTAGCAGCAAAATAAAGTTAACTAACCTACTGGAAACATTTCCCAAGAGGTATTCATGGAAAAACAACAAAAGGCAGTGCAGAATTCACAGCCGTGTGGTCACCTCACACACAGCAGGACTGAGGGGGATTACATGTGGGTCCAAGTGCCAGGAGTTCAGGAAGAACCTGAAGAACCTGTGAGCTTTTGGAAGTTAGTACGGAAAAGCATATAAACATAGCATGCTATATTTCATGGCAAAGTGACAAATGCTATTCAAACAGAATGAGAACCAAGACTCTCTTGACATTTAGGTAAAGGATGAAAAAAACTAAAACTTGCCAAGATACCTCCCAGAAAGCTTGGAAACCAGGTATCTTGCTTACCTGTGAGATGTCTGAGGTTCTCTGTCTAACCAGGAAATGCAATTGGATGGACAGGGCCCGATGGAACATGTGCAGACCCCGCCGAGTTCTGGTGAAGGATTCAATCTTACGCACGAAGAAGTGAGTGAATTCCTGGAGAGCAGTCACTGAGCCAGACAGGCAGGATCAGAAACGTGTATGTAATACTTGGTTACATGTCACTTCACTACCACTGACTTCCGGCCTGAGCAACTTCTTTCCTCTTCATAACTGACCCGACTGTAGAGCCGGGGGCATGGAGCTCCCAGCGTCTACAGGAAAGGCAACACCGAGGACAATGGGAGAGAGTCAAGTGTGCAGTGAGAATCCTTTTTCTTTTCCCAGGAATCTTTAAAAGATTCCTCTACTGCATGACTACTCTTCAAACTCCCAATGGCTTCCACTAGCAAATTTAGAAGGGAAAAAACTTAACGATGAGTAACTGGTTTTCTGAATACCCAATGTGCCACATCTTGGGACCCACACCTTTGCCGATGTGACAGCAGTGAAAGACCACTTCTACCTCTAAGTGTCCATGTGTGGCAGGAGGAGGAATGACAGTCACTGACAGGCCACCTTCCTCCCTAGTCCTTTTCCGGATACACACCCTCCTAGCCTGGCTGAGTATATACCTGAGAAACATTAGTGTTAAAATATTGCCCTTGACAAAGACTGGTAGATGGGGCCAAAGTGCAGGAAGCAACCGTTTTCTCTCGGTTTGTCTCATTGTTAGTGTCACAGTTTTTAGAACTCCTGGTGCCACATGACAGTCCCCTTCGGGACAAGCCCTGCTCAGCTGAACCCCAGGTCAAATAATTCATCCTTCTACAGAAAGTAACGACAGCTTGACTGGTCCCAGGTTCCAAACCCTAGGTCCAACGAGTCATTAGATTTCTCTAAAAGAAATATGTACAACTGCTAAAGGGACTGTCCGGGGTATCCTCTGTAATTTTTCCAGTTAGCTCAGTATTGATGCTTTGCCTATGGCTGTTATTTGGTTCAATGGCAGAATAAGGCGACGCTTTTAACAATTTGCAATTGAATTCCACACACACGCACACGCACACACGCACACACATGCATGCACGCAAGCACACACATCAGGCACATGACCCAAAAAATACAAAACAAAAGCATAGAGGGCTCTGGTGGGGGAGGGAGGGGTCTAAATAAATAAACGCGTCACAGGTTGCTGGAGCGCAGCGAGTCACTGAGGCTTCGGAGGCGGCCGTGCAGAGGCTGGCATGCTCGAAGGTAACCTTTGGGAGGACCTCTCGGAGGACTGCCTGCCCCGAGGAGAGGAGAGTGCTCCGGAGTCTAGAGGGGAAGACTTGGACTTGCGACTGGCCAGCAGGGAATGTCTAGCAGAAGCAGAGTCCCTGGAGACAAGCTGCTCTTTCCCCGCGGAACTGGCATTTGGCTGCTGGGAGCCCGGGGGCCGGGGCCCTCTCTCTGCCTTGTCCTCCCCGGCGTTCCTACAGGCCGGCTTGGCAGAGCTCCCCCCGGCCTTCCTGGAGAGCAAGGCGGTCTTGCCGAGGTCAGCGGACCGCCGGGTGTCCTTCTGCCTCAAGGCTGACTTGAAGAAGGACAGCCCCTTCTCATCTGACTTGCTGTCCCTCTTCAGACCAGCCTTCACACTCGCATTGGGGGAGCGCAGGCTGGCCATGGAGGAGCTCCTGACCTGCTTCCCATCCCCCCGGGCCTCACCCGCCCGGGCCTGGCTCACCCGAGGGGAGCTGGGCTTGGAGCCGGAGGGGACACCGGCCCGCTCAGAGGCCAGGCTTTGTCTGGAGCCCTCTCTGCTTAGGCTCCGATCTGAAGTCCTGCCCTTCCCGGGGGCGAGGGGGCCCCTCGTGGCAGGGCCCGAGGCTTTTCTGGCAGAGGTGGAGGAAGCAGTACAAGTGAGGGAAGAAGCCGACTTCAGCTTCTGGGGCGAAGGAGAGGCCACTGAGTCCTGGGCTCTGGGGGAGGACTCCTTCCTGGGAGGGGCGGGGGCTCTGGAAGACTCCACTTTGCTCCTGGAGCGGGAGGGCTTCACAGAAACTTTGGCAGCAACCGGAGAGGAAGGGGAGGTGCTGGACTGAGATGACCCCCGGCTGGCCAAGGCGGACCTCCCCTTCCGCAAGCTTCTGTCTGGCTCAGACGCACCTTTGCAGCTGGGGGAACTCCTGGTTGTGCTCTCTGGTTTCTTGGTGAGGGAGCCTGGCTGGCTTGGGGGTTTCACCTCTTTGACGGGAGAGCTGTCTACAGAATCGCTCTGGTCCACGTAAGCTATCTGGTTATTGTTATCAAATGGATCAGAGACGGAGGGCAGGCGAGCCCCTTGTGCTGAGTGTTTGCTCTGGGTGTCTGCCACACCGGAGTTCAATCTGTGGACCTCTGACTCGTCTCTGCACACGCCTTCCATGACAGCCAGCGGGGCCCGGCCTGCAGCCTTGTGCTCCCGTCGACTGGGAGTGCCGCCCAGGTCCTGGGAACTGCTGGAAAGGCTCCTCAAGCTACCAAAGCAAGAGACGGAGGCCTTGTCATCCACTGCCTCCCCGATCTTCTCCAAGGTGGAGGCAGAGGCGTGAACCGGAGAGTCCCCTGAGAAGCGGGAAGGAGAGCTGGAGCGCATCTGCAGCTTGGCCGACAGGGACCAAGAAGGTCTGATGCAGTTTTCATGGACGGCCAAGGGGCTGGTGACAGAAGACCTGGACGACAGGCTCTGGCGCTGGACACTCCTCACGAACGGTCGCGTCGAGAAACCTCCTGCACGCACAAAGGGAACATCATTAAGCTAAACAGCAACGAGGCCGGAGCACCTACCGGGAAAGGCAGGCGAGCATCTGGGACGACAGGAGCATGGCGCTCAGAGCAGCACATCTGGGGTCAAGGAGTAGTGAGGCCAGTTCCCTCCCTTAGCTACCCAACAGGTGCATTCTAATTCAGGGACCAGCAAACTGCCTCTGCCTGCCTGCTCTCCACCAAGGATCAGCACTGTTTTCCTGTACAGGCCCAGCCAGGAACCACTTTAGGCTTTGTGACCCCATCTCATGAAAGTAGCCATGGTTGACACATCAACAAATGGGGATGGCCGTGTTCCAATGGAACCTTATCTTATCGAATCCTTCTAATAAAGAGGGAATATGCTAATTGACCTTCATACCGTTGCAAAGATGGTGGTGTCCACAGCCACAAGATGGCAGTGCCTAGTCCCCTCAGCCCCGCAGCTGCCCAGGGCTGGCCCGAGGTGCAGGCAAGCCTCAGCTGGTGGCTGCCCAGCCACCCAGGGCTGCCCCAGGCTTGCGCTGCCAGCAGTGGCAGCAGCAGAGGTGTGATGTGGTGTAGCCTTCCCCTGATCGCTGGGTAGCCTCCCGCCCCTGAGAGCTCCCAGACTGTGAGGGGGGCAGGCCGGGCTGAGGGACCCCCACTCCACAGCATGCATTTTCATGCACCAGGCCTCTAGTGAGAATAAAATCAAATCTTTAAAAAGCCCTGTGCCCAGTGTGGTATCCGGCACTCCACAGATGCACAATAAATGCGAATGGCTGAGTCAGCTTAGCTCACTAAGGATTTCTGGGACGCACAGAAGGCAGTCTTTGCCCCAGATGGCACAAAGAGTCAGAGTCAGAGTCAGAGCGAACACCAGAACTGCAGCTCTAGCTCACATGCAATCCATATGCAGGGGTCTGTACCTGTTAACTATGAAAGCAGATCCACACAAAGAACTAAATAGACAATATACTCCTATCATGAGTGACTTAGAACTTATTTAAAAATATTCATAACTAGAATAATATAAATCCAAAGAGCCCAGCCAGTGTGGTTCAGTGGTTGAGCATTGACCTATTGACCAGGAGGTCACAGTTCAATTCCCAGTCAGAGCACATGCTTGGGTTATAGGCTCGATCCCCAGTGGGGGGCATACAGGAGGCAGCTGATCAATGGTACTTTCTCATTGATGTTCTATCTCTCCCTCTCCCTTTCTCTCTGAAACCAATAAATATATTTAAAAATTTAAAAAAATTAAAAAACTTCCAGCCCTTGAAGAAAAAAAATGGTGGCTGAATAGGCAGGTGTGTCCTGTGCCTTGTCCCAGAGCAGACAGAAGAAGCAACTAAATTGAATAGCATCCACCCAGATTGGTAAACTGGACACAGCTAGTGAGACAATTCATAACTGGGAAGGGATGCCTGGAGAACGGGGATCTGGGCTGGAGAGAGACGTGCGACCAACAGGCCAAGAGGGTCAGAAGAAAGATGCAGGGCACCAAGTCTGCATACTTTGGGGACAGGCATAAATCCAACTGTGGGGGGGAGGTCCACAGGCTGCTGGCGGCTGGAGATTCTGGCTCTACGCCCACACTGTGAGAGGCTGCGCCCAGAAGGGTGGCCTGCAGAGCTGCCTGAGCCACGAAGTGCCAGGGGGGAGAGGAACTCATAGTCACTTGGTTTTTTTGCCTTTTATTTGCTAAACCCACTTCATAGGACTTTTCAATTTCACCAAGGCTGCTGTGCAGGTGTCGGTACAGATGTGTGGGGTCTGGGGAGAGTCTCTGGAGGAGAGTGCGTCAGGGAGAAGTGACAGGAATCCAGCACTGAGACTTTCCTGACCCTCCAAACCTAAGCAGCCATTTTCTCCTGAAGAGCCAGCCCTCCCAGCAGCCTCAAGACAGCCAATACAGTCACACCCAACCTACACCTTGAGCTGCACAGAGGGCACAAAGGAGCTAGAAAGGAGCTTAGCAGCCATAGCCCAGGACTCTTCCTATAGAAGCAGAGAAGCAACAAGCCCGAGCTGGCGGAGCTGATGCTGGGGGTACACCCCCCAGGCTGGCACATCCTCCCAGCCCCCGCCTTGGCCTCTAGCCCGTGTCCTCAGAAGACCCATCACCACTGGAGGCAGTTACAGCTCACACAGTGCTGGCGCAGTGAGGCTTGCTGGAAGGAAGGTGAGTCAGCGTCTCATTCAGAAGCTGAGCTCACTGTCTGCCTTCCCAGCTCTCGCAGTGCTGGCTGCCTTGGTCCCAGCCACCTGGTCCCTGATGGAACTAAAGGCTGTGTGTGCTGCCACTACTCCACAGGTAAATGAAGGTAAAAAAGAGTTCCATTTTTATCAGATTTCCAAAGTTTTTATGTTGTACTTATCTTCAGAATTCCCAAAAACTACTTCCATGGAGAGGCACCAGTTTCTGTACTAAACGCTCCTGACAAAGAACGCGCCAGTCCTCCCAGGGAAACGGCGTGGCGGGGGTGAGATGCCGGGCAGGCGGGAGCGTCCTGCCAGGCCCGGCACAGGCGTGCTGCCCTGAGGCTCCTCACCGCTGCCTGGAAGGTTTTAAAAAGCGCTTTGAAAAAACTGTATTCATTATTGTACAGAGTCAAGGCCCCAGCCTCCACGCCAGACCTTCAAAGTCGAAAATGACGAAAGAGAAGAAAGAAGTCCTAGGTCACGCCCTGGGCACAGCAGGCGGCACTGACGACCGGACTCTGCCGCGCCACCCACAACCTTCCTGGACTTGGTTCCTGAGTTGCCTCTTGGAAGTCTGTCACCAAAACACAGAACACACACTCACCGTCATCTTCACTCCTCTCCCCCGTCATCTCCACAGACTCGGACAGCGAGGCCAGGGAGGTCCGTCGGGACGAAGCTGCCGAGGTGGCGCTGGCGGGCTTGCTCCCCGGGAGCCGGCTCACCCAGTGCTCGCACAGGGAGGAGCTCGTGGAGCCTGCAGAGAAGGGAGGGCCGGCGGTCAGGCAGCACCGGGCCTGCACAGCACCCCTGGCCCTGAGCACCGCGGGTCAGCACGAGCTGCCAGGCCCCGTGCTGCTCCGCCGAGAGGGCACGGCTGCCGTGACCAATAACAGGAGCACAGAACCGACAGTTCACAATGCACGCCCACGTCGCAAGGGCCGGCAACAGAACAGGCTACTGACAACTGCTCACGTTCATTCCTTCAGCACACATTTACGAAGCGCTACACACAGTGCCTGCCTCACACTGACACACAGGAAGGAGAGAGCAGCCGTGCTGTTATTTCCTCCGCCTCGCTGTTTGTTGACTTTTAATGTCATTTTTGCAGTATTAATATACAAACACAAACACAGGGCTCTGTGTCGATCTGTCCTGGGTCTCAGGAACGCCCTTAAATGCACTTGAGAGCAATAGCAACTGCTCTTAAGTGAGAACATGAAGCAGCATGACAGTCAGTCTCAAGTAGCCCTCACAAGGGGGTCATTTCTGAGCACATCCCAGGCTCTAAGAAGCACTGGGAGCCCCACTTCTGTTAACGAGTGAGTGGCAGACAGGTGGGTGCACTGGGGGGTGGGGTCTGACTCCAGCAGGGGCCACTGCTCAGGATGCTCCTGTTAGCAGCTTCTACCTTAGCCCTTGCAAGCTTCAGGGGGAGCACAAACCCTAACCTGACCACATTCCCACATCCCAGTCCCGTCTTATTCTCTTCAACTCAAACCCTGCCCCTTATGTGTGAGCACTGATTCCTGCATTTATTAAAACAACCGACTAGACCCCTTCAAACTCAACTCAAGCCGTCTATTCTACCTTAGCCTTCAACTCTTCCCCTAATAGAACAGGTCAACTTTACTGGGGGGAGGAGAGCTATTTCCAACAGCGTCTAATCCTTTACCAAAGGCTTTAAGATGTATTTGCATAACCATGTGGTCAGCAAACTGCGGCTCGAGAACCACATGCGGCTCTTTAGCCCCCTGAGTGTGGCTCTTCCACAAAATACCATGGCCTGGGTGAGTCTATTTTGAAGAAGTGGCATTAGAAGAAGTTTAAGTTTAAAAGATTTGACTTTCAAAAGAAATCTCAATCATTGTACTGTTGATATTTGGCTCTGTTGACTAATGAGTTTGCCAACCACTGGACTAACCTGATGCAAGAGACACGCAGTGGTATTGCACCAGGATTATGGATGATAAATACGTGCTCGAACAGGACGTGCCCCAAGGTCACCAACCACAATGTGGCAAAGCCAAGTCTCCGTCCTACTTCCCAACCTCTCATTCCCTCTACTTTCAGAGTGCATGCCATGCTGCTTCATAGCTCCCTTACCCCACGCGTGGTCCTCCCCAGCACTAGTTCCCCTCCCTGTGAACTCTGCTGGCTCACAGCTGGTCGCACATGCCACCCTCATTTCCTTAACTGCAATCATTTTAGTTTCAAGATTAAATGCAAATGTGAGGATTAATCTGACCAAACTGACAGAGGCGGGACACCTGGGAATTTCTGTGGACATTAATGGCAATCTTCTGTTCTGGGAAAAACTGCCCAAGAATCGGGGGGCCTCACCTGCCACCGAGCTGTTGGCTGACCACGACGGGATCGCCGTCCGCCTCTGGTAGAAGAGGATGTAGGCCATCTGTGTGCAGACCTCATCTTCCGACAGCTGCTGCACGTCGCTGTCGTCGAAGCAGTACCACAGCCCGTCCACGGAGTTCTTGCAGTAGGCTGCAAGGAGAGCCCGGTCAGCACCCGCACTTTACTGGCTGCCACGCTCACCAAGACCCTGTCTCTGGCTCATATAATTAACTCAAGACCTTCTAAAGGCTGCCTGTAGTGACAGAGAAAGAGGTGAAAAACCCAAAATCCGTATCACGCTCAGGCCAAATATTTCAAAAAATTCCAAAGATATAAAGTTCTTTTTAATCTTGGGAAACAAAATATACTTATTTATTTAAACCAGTGGGTCTCTGGAGGGACCAAACCAGTGAGACAATTCTACCCCGGAGACATGTGGATAGGTCTGAAGGCATTCTGACTGTGCCAGCGTGGGGAAGGGGCTCCTGGCCTCCGGTGGGAGGCAGGGGTGCCCAAGCACGGGGTTGTCTGGCCAAACTGTCAGCAGTGCCCGGGGTGAGAGACCCTGAGGAAAGCATGTTGTAACAGCTGGTGTTTATTAGAGACAGAAGATAACAGAACCAAAAGTAATGTTATTAATCGTAACAGCAGCTAACACTTGCTTAGAACTGATTGTGCCACACATGCACGTCTTTCTGTGAGACCTGCTCTATGATGATTCCCATTTTAGAGGCTCAGAAAGATGAACCAGCTTGCCCAAGATCATGCCGCTGGTGAAGGGCAGGGCCCAGCTCATTGCAGAATTTTAAGTCCCTATCCAACACTGCTTCCCTCGGGGGTAGCATAAACCATGTCTCAGGGAAGTTCCTTGGTAGACGGAGACCATTTGAGCGCATGGATGTGTGCGGCCTTCTCCCAGTTCTGATTCTAAGCCTGAGAGAGCGATACGGAGCATTCAAGAGCCAGCAAGAACAGAAACGCAATGTCCCTGACATCCCGGAAGGATGTGACAAGCTTGATCCAGAGAAGTAACACACTTCTACAACACCTGTTTGTTGGATGGGATATAGGAGTGCTAACTGACCACATGGCCCCAAAGAGGGCACGCAAGCCCTGAGAGGAGGCAGCGAGTGCCTTTCCCAAGCACGGCACCCCGAGGGATGAGACACCCTGTGAGAAGGGGTCCAGCAGACAGGCTGGAAGGACAGCAGAGTGAGAATCTGTGCTTGTAGGAAGGGAAGTCTTGTGCAGCTTGGATCTGGAACCAGCCGGGAGAACCATGGAGCTATACACAGGAACGGGCCAGGGCCAGGGCCAGGGCAATCGTCTGGTCCATGGCTGCTCTTCTGGAATGGAGCTGGGACAGCCAGGAGACGCCCAAGAGAAGGTGACAGAGAAACCTGGCACTGGCTTCTGTCTGTTTCCTTCAGATGATCTGTCCCCAGCCACCTGCACACATCACTCCCCAGTGCACCAGACGCCACGGATGGGCCTGCTCAGGAAAAGGAGGAGGGTTTTCACTTGTTTGCTCTTGGACAAAGAGCCAGAGGATGAAAACTGCCCTGGCAGTTGGCACACTGGCTACTGAAGGGCAGTGAGGCTCTAAGGCAGTGACCCTGTCACAAGCAAACATGCCTGAAGGCATCATCCGCACAGACACCCGGCCCCCCGCACTGCAGACCTGTGTAGTGCCCCCCTTGCATGGTGCCATGATGATTGCACACAGCATACAGGTCATAGACGTAGTCCTCAGGGTCCCTTCCGAGTCCATAAGGTCGTCGCCATGGAGACCAATGGGATGGCAAACTCCAGCTGCTCTGGCTTCTCTTAACCACATGAGGCGTCATGTCCAGGCCAGTCAAGGGGAACTTGACCATGTTCTGAAGTTTCACACGCCTGTCTCCTTCCTGTCACAAGAAGAAAGACAAATCCTGATGATTCTTTCCCGCAAACAGGTGGCGAATGCGTTCAGTGTGGAACGTGGGCTCTAGCAGTTGTAGTGGCTCGAGTTACCTGTCTGATGTTCCCCAAGACACACACAAAACAGGGAAACAGACGAGCTGTTTGGACTGTCTGGGGAACAGGTTTTAAGATCACTAAAACTGGAACCAGCAATGACCTACATATAAGGGGTAATGAGACTCGCTGAGTCTCCACTTCTTACCTGATAAAGGGCTTTTAGGTTTTTGACTCACCAAGTGACCATTTCAGGTGGTTCGTCCTGATACCTCTGTCACAAAAGCATGAGAGAGATGGAGTAATAACATATGGGAAAGACGAGGCCGGATGCCCAGCACAGACAGCCACTCACTGAGCACTGCTTTTTAAATTGTCTTCTGACCCACCCCTCCGGCAGTAGTGTGAAAAGTTAGCACTGATTTAGCTTAATCTATTCGTTTAGTTGACAATCCTGGGTAATCTGTCTTTTCCACACATTCATAGGGAAATTCTGTGAAATCCAACTGTTAGCTGAATATTTTCTGAATGTTTCTTGTGTCTGTGGGAGCTTTAAAATATTAATCGGGCCTGGCTGGTGTGGCCCAGTGGTTGAGCATCGACCTATGCCGGGGTTGCGGGTTTGATGCCTAGTAGGGGTCATGCAGGAGGCAGCCGATCAATGATTCTCATCATTGATGTTTCTATCTCTTCAGTCCTCTCTTTTCCTTCCTTACATCAATAAAAACATATTAAACTTTATTTAAAAAGATTAATTGGGTATGGATAATGGCTACCCCAAGGAGATATGGATCTATTAAGGGAAGAAATTTTTTCATAAGACAAAGGTAAGATGAGTACTAGGTGATCAGGAAGCTCAAGCTAAAGATTTTAAACTTGGTTCTTAGTCAAGGGGGAAGTACTGAGGCTTTGAGGAGGTGATGTCCTTGGAGCTGTAGGTGAAGAACTGAGTAAGTAGTGCATAAAGCATGGTAGAAAAAGTCGTCTAAGTTAAGAAATCAGTTGAAGACACTGCAGCTCAGCTGCCATGGCTCAGTTGGTTGAATATCGGCCCGTGCACCAGGAAGCTGCGTGTTTGATTCCCGGTCAGAGCACATGCCCAGGTTGCTGGCTCAATGCCATCTCTAGATAGGGGCATGGAACATCAATGTTTCTATCTCCCTCTCCCTTCCTCTCTCTGAAATCAATAAAAACGTGTTTTGTGTTTTTTTTTTTAAAGACATTGCAATTGCAACCAGCTAAAAAGTACCAAAAGTTTGAACTGGCAGGGTGACAGCAAGAATGGAGAACCCTGGCCTGGTGGCTCAGTTGGACATCGTCACGTGCACTGAAAGGTTGCTGGTTCAATTCCTGGTCAGGGCATGTGCCGTAGCTGTGGGCTCAATCCCTGGTAGGGGGCCTGCAGGAGGCAGCCAATCGAAGCTTCATTTTCACGTCAATATTTCTATCTCTCTCCTCTCTTCCTCTCTCTAAAAATCCATTTTAAATATCTTTAAAAAAAAATGGGGAGCAGGGGACAGACACAGGAGGCAAGGGAGAGGAGTAACGAAGCAGAGAAGGTGACTGCCAGGGCCTAGATGAGAGGGGCTAGAGAGAAGAGTCAAAGACACGCCGTGGGTACTGTTCAGGTTGCTGGGAGGGTGACGCTGTGCCTTCAAAAGGCACGGAAAGCAAACTAAATTAGTCTGTGTGTGTGGGAAGAAACAGAGAAGGCTGGGTTCCCAACCCTCAACAGCTCCCCGCCTGCATACCCCAATGGGCGTGTGCAGTTGGGACACACAGCTGGCCCCCAAATCTGTGGGAAAGCCCCAGCCCCGGAGCCACATGCAGGCCACGTGGTCAGCAGCCCTAAGCCTCTTATCCCTCTCCCTGTCTCTCCAACTCCTCTGCCACGACTGAGCCCCAGCCATCAGCACCCCTCCCAGCCCTGAGGACTGCACTGCCCCTTCAGATCTCTGCCTTCATTCTTGTCACTTCTAAGCCCTGACAACCCGCCCCCCACGTTGTCCACCTCAGCTCGCACCTTTCTCTCCAACCCTCTCGTGCTCCAGCCAAACTGGCTGCTGCCAGCCTCTGGCATGGCCCTACTCCCCAGGGGCGGGGCTCTGCACACCCTGCTCCCTACTGCCTACCCTAATCTCAGACACAAAACTTCCTAGAGCCAGGCCACACCCTTCTACGCGTACCTCCTGTGTAGCCCTCTCACAGGGAGGCTGTCCCGGACCATCCTACCTCAGGACAGACAGCTGTTCTGGACACACTGACTCACAGAGCAATGTCACTCAGAGCAGATCTTCTTGGTACGTGTTTCTAACTCCTTTCCCCAACTGTACAACTGCCCCGGGCACAGGATGCCCCCGTCATGTCTTCAGGGAGAAACACCCTCCTCCCGCCCCCAGAAAGGAGCTCTCCTTTTCTTTTTAATCCAAAGTACAGGATGCTCACCAAAACTGAAACAGTATTTACAACCCTGTAGCAAATGCTCCAGAACCAAGTAGAATATCTACAGTCTGAACTAAATGTATAGGCTTTAAAGGGCCACAGGACACCCAACTCTGGAAAGGAACAAGGGTGCCCACAGGGCAGAGTGTGTAGGCTTTAAATGTATAGGCTTTAAAAGGCCACAGGACACCTAACTCTGGAAAGAAACAGGGGTTCCCACAGGGCAGAGTGTGTAGGCTTTAAATGTATAGGCTTTAAAGGGCCACAGGACACCTAACTCTGGAAAGAAACAGGGGTGCCCACAGGGCAGAGTGTGTAGGCTTTAAATGTATAGGCTTTAAAGGGCCACAGGACACCTAACTCTGGAAAGAAACAGGGGTGCCCACAGGGCAGAGTGTGTAGGCTTTAAATGTATAGGCTTTAAAGGGCCACAGGACACCTAACTCTGGAAAGAAACAGGGGTGCCCACAGGGCAGTGTGTCTGTAACAGACAGGAGCACAGGCCCCTGAGCACCACAGCCCGCGTGGCCGGCCATCCTCACCTGCCGGAACCTCTTCAGGTGGACGATGAGCACGTCCGGCAGGGTCCACAGGCTCAGCGTGATGCTCCCCTGCTGCAGCTGCTTGCAGTGCGGGCAGCGCCAGGCGTCGTCGGGGGCCAGCTGGAAGGAAGCGAGGGCACGACTGTGTGGGCGCCTCAGGGCGCAGCTTCCCGAGGACGCGCTGCGCTCACTTCCCGGCCAGTGCCCGCACCTCAGAACCTGCCTGGAAACGGCACACGAGGCACCACACCTGCTGGCGGGTTCTCTCAAAGGGCCATGACTGTCCAGAGCAGCGGTGGGAACCTTTCTCTGCCAAGGCCCACTGGGATACTTATGACATCATTCGAGTGACACACAAAATTATTAACTTAAAAACCAGCCTGCTGTATTTGGTAAACTTGCTAAATCTGGTAAAACATTTAATTACCTCACCCCTCACGCCCTGGTAGGCCAGACCAAACGATGCCGCTGGCCTTCTACGGCACGGGGGCCAGGCGTCTCCACCCCTGGTCTAGAGGGTATGACCCGGAAGCACCTCAAACTCAGTGTATTCCCCAAACTCACCACCTTCCCATCAACATAGTCCCCTTTCTCCTCCTTTCCTGTCTCAGCAAACACCAGGACACCCCCAAAGGCAGACCATGGGGCTATCCCAAACCCACAAACCCTCCCCTCTTCCTCCCGCTCTGTGTCCACCTACAGTTATTCTCTCTGCCATCTCTCGTCCTGTCTCCTCCTCTACCCTGACCAACCCCACCTGAATTTGAAATCCTCTTATTCTCTTACCTGGGCATCACCAACCTCCTAACTGTTCTCTCTCCCCCAGCACTGACCTGCTCAACAATCCTCCCCTTCTGCTACATCAGGATCTTTGTAAATGTCATCTACACCTACATGTGTCATCTCTGCAGCCAGGGGTTAACAGGTGAAAGATTCTTAAACCTGCTCTGGAAATCAGAAGCTGCATCTGATCTGGGACCACATTACAGTCAAGTAAGGGAGATCAGGGAGTGGAAGGCTCTGCCCCTGAGATTGCAGAAAGCAGCCCAGGACAGAGGGTGGGAATGCCTCTTTTCAAGGGACATACAAACGTTCAAAAACCAGCAGAGCCTGAGGATGCAGAGGCAGAAACCAGGGAAATCGGAAGCACTCCCTTTCACGGATACCAAAAAGGAGTGGTGAGGACCGAGGGCTGTCAGTGCCACACCTGCGGAGAGATCAAGTGCAGACTGAGGCCTTCAAGAGCAGAGTGAGAAGTGTGGCCAAACAGAGATGAGGGCTTGTGAGGAGAGAAAAGTGCTGGGACGCTAATGTGCAGCGGAGCAGAAGGGTGAGGAGGGCTGGCAGGCCAGTGGGAAGGGAGCAGAGCAGAGGGAGTGCTTTCTCACAAGGAGAGTCATGTCTGCAGGAAGTCTGGGAGGTGAGCGCGCGTCAGAAGGTGAGACTAGAAGGGGCCTCCTCTGTCAACTGGCAAGTCCACATCGTGTGACACAGGAACAGTCCACACGCATGGCCACCCAGCCCAGTGCACCGGTGAAGGAGCAGTTGCTGCGTTAATTTCTGACACATTACAAACAATACTCTGTAAGAGACTAAGAACCCTGTGAAACGTGTAATAACAATGCCAGTCTCTAGCACACCACTCTGACCCCTGTACTCTATTGAGCTGTAACTGCTGCTGAGAGCTCCCGCCCTGCACACCAACACACAGTCATTGGTTTAGCTCCTGCTGGCACGCAAGGGGGGCTCACTCACAGGAAGCTGTTCTAGCTTCAGACAATTCATTACCAAGTTCTTCCGTGATAAGGTAGAATAATTCCCTGTAATTCCAATCTTTAAATTCTGTTTTGTTTTGTTTTTAGGTAAAATTAAGTCCATCTTCTTCCCTACAGAATGGTCCTTGAAGTGCCTGAGTCCTTCAGGCTCCTTCGTCAAAATACATCCCTCCACGTCTTGATTCCCAGCTGCGCCATCCTGGCCACTCACTCAGGTTGTGCCTGGTCTGCCGGACTTAACAGGGAGCATGTGAAGTGATGGGAAGAGCGGGGCCAGCACTGTGAGTTCTGGACAATGTCTAATGCAGCCCTCGCAGACACTGCTGACCAATGTGAGCTTGCAGACAACCCACGTCCACAGTTCCTGTCACACAGCCCCCTGCCGGCCAGGCCACAGCCTCTCCTCTCCCATGCTGCGCTGTTATTTTTGGATCCAATGACTGAACTCCCCAGTGATCCCCGTGCATGCCGACTGCATGCTTTCCAGGTGCCAGGCTCCACGGCGGACACTCAGGATTACTCAAAAACCAGCACTGTCTCTCTCCTCACCCTGTGCTCCAGTCACACTGGCTTCCTTTCTGTTTCTTGCCATGCCAGTTCCTTCCTCACCATGACTTCCACTTTCTTTACTTCCTTGTTTGAGGACAAAAACACTGTCTTTCTTGGTCCCAGCCAAATCTCCAGGACCTAGTGCAGTACCTAGCACACAGTATGTACTCAATAAACATTTACTGAGTGAATGAAACCCTATCTATATAATAAAAGGGTAATATGCAAATTGAACCTAACAGCAGAACGACTGGAACGACTGGTCACTATAACACACACTGACCACCAGGGGCAGACACTCAGCATAGGGCCCGCCCAATGTCAGTGCACTCTCACAGAGGAGCTTCATTCAGCCACAAGCCAGGCTCAAAGATGCGAGCACAGGGGTGGTGGTAGGAGCCTCTCCCATCTCCTCGCAGTGCTAAGGATGTCCGACTACGGCAGAGGGATGTCTGACTGCCAGCCTAGGCCCGATACCTCAGGGAGCAGGCCTAAACTGGCAGTGAACATTCCCTGAAGGTTCCTGGACTGTGAGAAGGCGCAGACCTGGCTGAGGGACCTGCCCTCTCGAGTGCACAAATTTTCATGCACCAGGCCTCTAGAGAAAATACATCCTGCTAGCTTGAACTCATCCTTCCCATCATTGAGACGTTCTGTAGAATACCAGTGTTGCCATCCAATAAGTCTGCTCATCTCTAAGGTTTGTGCCATTCTCAAACATCTTCCAAATCAATTTTAAAAAATCTGAACAGGGCAAGGTGCTATACAGAGTAGACAAGCAGCAGGTTGTAAAGCCAATGAACTATTTTATATAAGCTCCAAACTGAAAAAAAGATCTTATGAAACTCATTATTAAAGGAACTAGCTATGGATAACTTGGGGGTAAAAAGGCTCAGTGAGAAGATGGAAAACATTTCAAATACTTAAAAGATAGACAAATATTTGGGACCAACTATTCTCAGAGAGAACACATGTGGTCACAGTGATGTAGTCCAGGCTGACCTGTCTCCATCAGGGACCTCCAAAGAGGAAATGGTGAGTCTCCTATGGAGGCAAATGCTTCACAACTAAAGGTGTACAAACAGTGGCTGAAATTCAGGAGAGCCCAACCATCAGAGAGAAAGAAGTGTTCAAGTCCTCTTTCACCCGAAACTGCCCAAGGAGCTATGTACTCAGAGTGAACAGCAACAATCAGTAGTCAAATGTCTGACCTGACCCTGCCGGGGCGTTATCCCAGATCACCACAGTTGCAGGCTCCATCCCAAGTCAGGACACAGACAAGAATCAACCAATGAATACATAAATACATGAAACAATAAACTCATGTCTCTCTCTCTCAAATCAATTTTTAAAAATTTAAATAAAAGTCTGATCCTAACATCATCTCAAGGTGGACTACAAGTGTTAAGTCAGTTTCTCAAGGTGCACAAACCTGGAGGTTTAAAAACCACACAGGCTTGAGCCTCATCCACAGAGACTTGTCTATCTGTCATCCTTACATGCAAATATTTACCAAATCCCTACTATCTGCAAAGCACTGTGTTAAGTGGTCAAAAGAACTGCCCAAAAGGACTGTCTATATGTACACTGTGTCTACTGAGCACATGAAACTAAGAAATTGAATTGCAATTTTATTTAATTACTAGAGGCCAGATGCATGAAATTCATGCAAAGGACTCCAACCCTACCACCACCATGGCGGTTGCCTCTGTGGCTTCGTCCAGAAGGACATCTGGTCTAATTAGCATATTATGTTTTTATTATTATAATTAATTTAGATAGGTTCTCACACCTATGTTCTTAGTACCAAACAGTTGAGAATCACTGTTCCAGTTACTAAGGAAAATTATTTAAAACCTAACACTAAAGTACCCATACATGTGCAGAACTTATGTAAATGCAAAACGACTCGGGAGTTTCTGGGACACAATTTGTTTCTTTGTTGTCACTTTGCAATGCCACCATCCCTACCACTGTACCACCCAAGAAATGCTCCCCAGCTCTCACCCGTTCCTCTTTGGTGTAGAGTTGGAAACACTGGGATAAAGTGCAAGTTTGAGGCTGATGATGGCGCTCCCGTTGCAGACGAACACTCTCTGCATCAGGGATATACTCATCTTCAGTATTTACAAACAAGCTGCCATTGGGGGCAAAGCATTTATCAGCAAAAGCTTGCAAAACTGACACAAAATACAATCACAGCTTCACAGCACAGATCTAATTTCATAAGCAAGAAGGTCAGTGTGTTAGAAAGCATTTCCCATGTTCCAAAATATTTGTGAAACATTCTCTATAACATTATTTTCAAGAAGAAATAACTTGGAGTTGGTTTTTGGGGGGACTGGACATGAACTGTGCTAATTAATCTATATAATCTTGTCCTTTGTAACTAAGGGCACACATCTTGCCTAACTTACTGGAGTTTATGGGCCTGTAATACAAATCAAAGTAATTGGCCCCACAATGAATAAACATACAAACACACACACACAAATATATAGCTTCTATCTCATTAGCAGCAAACAAGAGAATGTATAGGAGAGAAATAATAAACTACTTAAAGAATTAGCAACACACCAGACACTAAACAGTTAAAGAGAAATTTGGGTTTCAGCTAATTTGAAAGATCCAAGGCATGCTTTTAAAATAATTAAAACAATGACTCTATAAAAACTAAGTAAAAACTACTCACAAATCTTTTGTCTCCTTGTCCCATTCTACTACTAACTTCACATGAGCAGTGCCACCCGGTCCACACGATTTTAACGCCCTGCAGATAGAGAAAGGGAGGGGAGTCACATATTATCTCTATTATAAAAACCCCGTGGCCGCGATGCTGTCACGACCAAACGCCAAAAGGCACCTGCTGAACGTCTTATTTCTTCATGGGAACATGTAAGTGTTGCTCTGTTCAATTTTCATCTTCCAACAAAGGTCAACTTAAGTGCTTCTGAGAAGGAAAGGTTAAAGCAAGAAACCATTCTTATCTCCGTCCACAACTGTCTTCAAGGTGGGCGGGGCTGTGTGTGTGAACGTGGGTGGGTGAGGCTGCATGTGCAGCGAGGCACAAGCAGGTAGGCTACTTGACGCAGGTGGGCAGGGACTTGATCCGGGGTCCCATGGCGAGCTGGGTCTTGCGCAATTTCGTGCAGTGGGCCTCTAGTTTTCTAAATAAATGCTTTTACTTAATATGGTAATCCTATCTGATATCTGATATCTGAAATCATGTGATTTCTGAGTATCTCCATCGTCATTCCCCATCAGAAAAAGTTTCTAGTGAGACCATTATAATAATCTCGTATATAAGAAGTAGGTTACAGCGGGACTAAAAATCCCTTACATTAAAATGTCCAGTATAGAAATAGGGATTGGAAGAAATTTAGAATCCTGTTATAAAGCTATCCATAGTCACTCTTAGTCCAATTTCTCACCAACCCAAATAGAGAAAACAGTCTCTCTGGGGACCAAGTCTGCTCCTGCACCCCTTCCCCATAAACCGTGCCTGTCCTTGGACTCGGTCTGCGCCAACCTGAACTTCCACTAGGTCCTGCTCGAGTTCCACCTCCTTCCTTCATAAAGCCCCACTGAGTGCCTTGCCACATTCCACCTCCTGAGAAACTCAGGATTAATTGTCAATATTACTGCCCTAGCCAGTTTGGCTCAGTGAGTAGAACATAGTAGGTCTGAAGGGACCCAGGTTCTGTTCCAGCCAAGGGAACATGTCTGGGTTGTAGGCTTGATCCCCAGTAGGGGAAGTGCAGGAGGCAGTCAATCAATGATTCTCTCTCATCACTGATGTTTCTATCTCCCTCTCCCTTCCTCTCTGAAATCAATAAAAATAATTTTTAAAAGGATATACTTATAAAAAGGAATGTTCAGAGAACACAAAGGAAGCCTTTACACACACACACACAGTCAATATTACTCATCTAATTTTCTTATGCTTTGCGATGTTTTGAAGCATTATCTAATCCATTAACTCTCATCTCTAAAACCAAACAGTGACTTGCCCCTTCTGGTGTGGCTCAGTTGGTTGAATCGTTGTCCTGTACACCAAAAGGATAGTTTCAATTCCTAGTCAGGGCATGTGCAGGAGGCAACCAATTGATGTTTCTTTCTCTCTCTCTCCTTCCCTCCCTTCCTCTCTCGAAGATTAAAAAAAAAAAAAAAGATATTAAAATAACAAAACCAGCCAAAACCGGTTTGGCTCAGCGGTAGAGCGTCAGTCTGCTGACTGAAGGGTCCCAGGTTCAATTCCGGTCAAGGCATGTACGTTGGTTGCAGCACATCCCCGGAAGAGGGTGTGTAGGGGGCAGCTGGTCGATGTTTCTCTCTCATCGACGTTTCTAGCTCTCTGTCTCTCTCCCTTCCTCTCTGTACAAAAAATTAAAATAACAAAACCAAACAGTAACCTGCTTTCAAATAGAACCACGTTGTAGACTTTTTTGAAATACTGAAATGCAGGCACTACAACATTGGTTGAAAAAATCGTAATAAAAACAGTATCCTGAGTTTTTATATTTATGTGTCATATGTATCATTATTTTAATACTGCATGTTGTACTATAAGAAGTGTGTAGAACATACAGGGAAGGCACAGTGTAAGAACAATTTGATCACAGGAAAAGGATGGACAGAGGAAAGATACTGTCAACACATGCAAAGGCACATGAAGCCGTGCTGTGTGTCCAAGCAGCCGCAGCACCCTGCCGCTGCTGAAGGGTTAGGATGGTGGGAGAGCAGCCAGCAGGCCTGACAGAGGAAGCAGTCACAACTCAAATGACACACGCCCTGCACTGCGGAGCCTGGTTTTGTCTTTTACAACACAGGTCACCCTGCAAGGACAGCAAGGGGGAGAGCAGCACGATGAGAATTCTACTTTGGGAAACGTCAACCTTGGTGAATATTAAAGTGTCATTTATCTGTAGTCCTGGGATCTACAGCAATTTGCTTTCTTTAACATGAGTACTCCAGGCTTTCCCAAAAAGGATCCTGAAACATATCATATCCTAATTCGCATCAAAAGTAAAATAAGGACTTAATTTCTAAATGAGCCCAAAGAACACACTTGTGTGGACGGTGTACCAGACATCACCAGAAGTCACACATGAGCGCTTGTGCAATTCTAGAAGGCGATGTTGTTACCTTTCCACCGTGGGGTGGCACAGCGGCTGCTCCTCCTGGGGCAGCAAGTACGTTATTCCCACCACGCTGACCACACGCAAGGTGAACGGACACACCTGCAGCGAACAGGGAGGAGCGTTAGGCTGGATTTCTCCAAGGGCATCAGTTTCACAGTGAGTCTTTCCAAACCAGGTCAGAGGGGAGTAAAATGCTCCTTCATAATGTTGTTAGGTTGCTGAGCTGCTCTAATACACTTTCAATATGATTTACCCAAATACAATTTACACATCAAACATGTTATGCAAGACAGGTAATATGTGGCAGTCTTGGAACATTAACTTAATGTTAGTTTCCCACAGATACCTTAACACTGAAACCCTAACTTTGAAAATATACAGAGGGATGTTCTACAAAACCTGTCCAAGCTGATCGCGTGCTAACCACGATGAGACAAACCTAAGAAAGGGAAGCGTGCAGTGGCAGCTGCTTCACAGATGAGGCTCCTGAAGAGCCCTGAAGAAGCCGGGACTCTGAACTCCCTCAAAGGCTGTGTCCTCACTGGCACACACGCGTGCTGGCTGGAGCCCCAGAGCACGTACACACCTGAATGCACACCGCGGGCCTCAGGAAGTACTTCATCTTCTCCAAGATCTCCTTCTGCAGCAGGTCCCAGGCTACTGTCTTCTCCAAGTGCAGCACAAAAGGCTGTCCAAACCTAACACACACAACCATTCAATTAAGTTATAGCAATTCCTTTACGCTGTATTCCTCACTCATGATCTTTTTTTAAATACGTCTTTACTGACAGTAGAGAAAGGGAGAGGGAGAGGGAGGTAGAAACACTGATGAGAGAAACATCAATCGACTGTCTCCTACACAACCCCTACTGAGGATCAAGCCCACAACCCGGCCAAGATGGCCAAGTGTCCTGACCGGGAATCAAACCAGTGATTTCTTGGTTCCTGACCTTCTTAAATGGAATCACTATAGAATTGGTTTTAGGTCTGTTCTCAATATAAAACAAACAGGAAATTTAATATAATTCTCATTAAGTGGATGAAACAGTCAGAAGAGAAGCTGAGTTTTCTAAATGAAATTTAACAGCTCATACATCAAAATGGCTTCTGGGGGAGCATGAAGCTAGGATATTAGGAAGCAAGACACAAGATCAGCGGAGACGATGAGAAAAGAAGGTCGGAGTGGACAGCAGCCTGGAACGGCACAGGTCAAACAAGCAAGGGGTTAATGCCAGAGGAGCAGAGAGGAGGAGCAAGCCTGGCAGGCAGGCAGCCAGGGAAGGACATGTGGACCTGCTGTGCCAGGCTGTCAGGTGTTGGAAAAGAGGAGGTGGTGCCTGGCTCTTGGCTGCAGGCAACGTCACCGTCACTGAGGGAGTTTTAAACAAGGGTGCCCGAGTGCAGCCCCCCGAGATCCTGCTGCAGCCACTCTGGTGGATGGCTCAAGCACTGAGACTTTTTAGAAGTTCCTCAGTTCCCCAAGCGGTTCTAAAATGCAGCCATGATGAAGCACCAGGGGGCTGCCCTCACTCCCCAAGCTCCAGCCATTCACACCTACGTGCTTTGTGCCCTGACTGTGTCCAATTCACACATCCAGGTATTTGTTCAGCCAAGTCCCTCAGCCTGGAAAGCCTTCCCAGCCTGCTCCTGGGCTAGCTCCTACTAACCCACGGCAAGACCACGCAGAGGTGTCCTGTGGAAGCACCGGTCAGTTTGTTCCCTGTGCTCTCGGCACCACAGCACCAACGTACAGTGCCCGATCATTCTCCTGCCATCCATCATGCACTGCGAGCTATCTGGTGGAAGGAAATGTGGTTTGCAATCTTAGTACCTATAACATGGTAGATGCTGAGTGAGCAAGTGAGGAATGAGATAAACCCTGACTCAGGCCAAAGCAGAGGTTCTAAGATCACCAAGAAACCCTACTCCTAATAAAACGTTTATTCACAGTGACACAGAAACCAACCTATCTGCCTAAAGATGTCTGTGACGTGAAGTTACAAGCACATGTAAACCATCTGGCCTCACTTTCAATGACAATGTCTTCACTTCTGTAACATCCCTTCCCTCCTGTCCCTTACACATGCCAAGCTCTTCTAGGCTCAGCGTCTTTGTACCCCAAGTCCCCTCTCATGAGATCCTATTCCCCAGAGGGTCCCACAGCTCACCCTCTCCTCTCAGGCTCAGCTGCTGCAAGAGAGCCCTCCCTTACCTCCCTCCCTAGCAGTGCCCCCAACCCCAGCACACTCTATCATCCCAGCCAGTTTCAAAGTGGGAAGGACTGAAGTTAGATGTGTTTACTTGCTTGCAGTCACTCTGTCCTAACTAGGATGTAAGCTCCTGGGAAGGCAGACCTACCTGTCTGTCTGTCTGTCTGCTACATAGCCCTGTGTTTAGAACAGTGACAGACACCCTGGCAACACTTGAGTATTTGTTAAACGAGCATCAAAAATACACAAGGCAACACATTTTGCATTTACATTATTCAGCATCTTTAAAAAAAGGATTTTATTCCAAAGCAACATTTTAAAGGCTAATATAAATGCTACCTTACCAAGAGTAGAAACAAGGGCCTTCCTCCCTAAGCAGATCCACATCGTGCTTATCGCGCAGGTGACGTCACTACCGGGAGAAGGCTACTTTAAAAGGCAGCAGAAACCCCCGCAGAGGGAAGTTCTTACAGAGGGAACGGCCCCGAGAGATTTCCAACTCCCAGCTTCCTGGCTTATGCCGCTGCACCAAGAGCGGCACACACCACCCGCTTAGACGGAGACGCTGGAGGGCCAGGGGTGCAGGGAGAGAGCGCTCAGCCTGGAACCCAAGATTGGGATGTACATACCTTCCAAGTAATGTGTTAAGAATTTGAAGAAGAAAAAGAAAGCAGCTATATATAGGTGTATAGGTCTGGGGCCACCAGAGGGACTTGTGCTGGAAATAGACATATGGTAGGAGCCTTTAAGAACTACCGTGAGCTTGAAGAGCCATTCTCTCTCAAATTCTATCATCCTAATTTTATATTCCCCCTCTCAGCCCCTCAGATCAGGTCACCTTATACACATACTCTTTCTGAACATCAGAATCAAAAATTAACTACGAAAAGTAAGGATGCTTTGATGCCAGAAAAGAAGCGTCTGCACCTCTTTCCCTGCTGCCCGGTGCAGGCGCGGTTGCACACCAGCAGGACGATCTTGTCGCTCTCTGCTCTCGTCACGGGCAGCTCCACCTTCCCCTGCTTTGCCGCTGCGTGTGCAGAAGACAGTCTATGATGGGCCAAGCCAATTGTTAAGTGGTTCAGATTGTTGTTTAAGTGAATTCCTGAAACAAAATAGAAAAAACTTACTTCATCTCTTTAAAATTCTTTTCATTCATTCATCACAAAGTACTTTACCAAATAGAGAAATTAAGAAGTTGTCATTATATAATTTAAACTGCAGTTGAAAGATGGAACAAATTCTACTCTGAGATGACTCCTCTCACCACTCAGATAATTTCTTCAGCGTCATTATTTAAGCTGGCCTTACTGTCAGAAACTGAAAATTAAACCTCTTATCTTCAGTGACCATTAGATCCCACGTAAGAAAGACAAGTCTGCAGAGATGATTCACCACCACAACGTGAAGTGTGGCCGTGCGTGCAACCAGCAACCAGATGAACTTTTTAAGAAGTAAAAGGAAAGGCTAATACAAGTGGGATGATCTTCAATATTCCAATGCTGCTTTTTCTCCCTGCTTTAAGGGCTAAACTTATAAGAAACTACATTTGCCCTGACCGGGTGGCTCAGCTGGATGCAGTGTCGTCCCATGCACCAAAAAGGCTGAGGGTTTGGTTCCCAGTCAGGGCAAATCCCTGGACTGGGGTTTCGATCTCCAGTCAGGAAGTCTATGGGAGGCAATAACTGATGTTTCTTTCATTTTGAGGTTTCTCTTTCTCTTTCCCATCCTCTCTAAAGTCAATAAAATAAAATTTAAAAACAAACAAAAAAAAAAACATATCCTAGGGTGGAGATTAAAAAAACAAACTAATTTAACTAGATTCACAGCAACTACAGAACTTCAATACAATCACCTAAACTGTACCCACAACATTAATGTGAACGCAGGTATGTGTTTGGCAGGCCCTATACAGACTTGAAAGCAAAGCTGTCAATCAGAGGCACTAAGCAATTCAGCACCCAGCAACAGCCCTGAACTCAGTAGGAACTCAATAAATGCTTGACTAAATAATTGTTAATTTCCTTAATCCTTTTAAAGCCTAAGAAAATGATATTCCAACTGTATAATGAAGCCTACCATTATCTCAAGTATAGTAACATCTCCAGGAGGAGATTACAATAAAAAGTATTTACACAAAAGTATTCATGGCAGAAATCTGGCAATAACCTAAATATCCAATAATATGTGACTTGCTGAGCCTACAAAGATACATCAACACTGTAGCAATTTAAAATCATGAATACATAGTCCTGGCCAGATGGCTCAGCTGGTTGGCGGGTTGTCCTATACACCAAAAGGTTGCAGGTTCGATTCCTGGGAACACATACCTAGGTTGTGAGTTCAATCCCTGGTTGGGGGTGTATACAGGAGGCAACTAATTGATGTTTCTTTCTCACATCGATTGTTTCTATCTCTCTTTTCTCTAAAAATCAATAAGAACATATTCTCAGGTGAGGATTAAAATGATGGAATACGTAGTTAAACCGACATAAATTCCAGATAAATTAACCTTTTAAAATAAAGAACACAAGAACTAGACTCGCCTATGACTCACTGGTTGAGCATCAACCCATGAGGTCACAGGTCAATTCCCAGACAGGGAACAGGCCTAGGTTTCTGGCTCAATCCCCAGTAGGCAGGGATCCAGCGTGCAGGAGGCAGCCAATCAATGATTCTCTCTCATCACTGATGTTTCCATCTCTCTCCCCCTCTCTCTTCCTCTCTGAAATCAATAAAAACATAAAGAACAATAACTCAGGAATTAGAAATACAGAAACATTGAGTTTTCATTGAGCTATTAGAGGGAAAAATACTTTTTAATGCTGAACACCATGAAGAAATCACAAAAGAACAGCAGATTTCAGTTCCTAACCATTTTAAACTTTAGTGTAAGGAAGTACAAGTAATAGAAGTCTGAATCTGAGACAATGAATGGCCTCATTTCCCAGGCTTTTGGCAGAAGAGAGGCTGGGAAGACCTGTTCTTCTAAAAGTGATCAGGATTCCTAGTGCGATGAGGGGATACCCATCAACTGCAGAGGTCAGCTCTGCATTCAAAGTGCAGGCCCTGTGATCACCAGCTGTGTGACCCCTTCATCTAAGCCTCCTCCCTCATTTGTCAATTGGGAAAAGTAGCAGCCTCATACACACGGAACCCAATAGTATAAGGCCTTTACAATAAAGACCAACACATACTCACAAAGTGGTATATTCTTCCAACAAAGGCACTCTCTGGCTAGAATATAACCTTGAACCTCCCTATATTCACTTAAAAAGAGAAACTTAGTGTAAACCCTAATAATTGGGGAATGAAGGCGGATTTGGGGTAATATTCAGCAGAACAAACACTAACTAGACTGTATATTAAGAACTATACTCAGCTGCTGGGTACAGAAAGATGAAGCAAAATGTAGTCCCAACGGTAGAGAATTCACAGTATGGTGGGACAGACACAGGAGAAAACAGGCCATGGCCACGCAACGTTCTAGTCCAGAAGCTACGGGCTAGAGCAAGGGAGGGAGGAGTCGGTCAGCCGGCCAAGAGTGGAGGAAATGAGGAAAGACTCTGGACAGGTGATTTGGGTCTTTTTATTATGACGCAATTTAAATACACAGAAGCACATGCATGAGAACACAACAACTGGAAAACAGACAACAGAGCTCCTGGGTCAAAGAACAATGAATACTGAGATAACAGACTGCCTAGAAAATGAGTAGACCAGAGAAAACTGACTCCTAAGCTGAGAGTGGAGAAAGCAGGCCAATCCAGTATATATAATTACCAAAAGATTCAAAAACTAGAGGCACCAGAAACCTCTAGAATTAGGGGGTGAAAGAAAAGAGGTAGCAAAATAAGGACTTTTGACAAGGGCACCAAGACTATCTAAGGATAGTCTCTCCAACAAACAGTGCTAAGATAATGAATATTTACATGCAAAAGAATGGAACTGGACTCCTACTTCACACCATTCACAAAAATTAGCTCAAAATCGATCCAAGACATAAATGTAAGAGCTAAAACTACAAAAGTTCTACAAGAAAACACAGGGCTAAATCTTCATGGACTTGGATTTGGCAATGGATTCTTACATATGACACCAAAAAGCACAAGCAATAGCAATGACAAGATAAATCAAACTTCATCAAAATTAAGGACTTTTATGCATCAAAAGGTACTATCCATTCAGAACACCTAAAATCTATTTGAACAGAAGGCCTACCACTAAGAATATAAAAAGAATCCACATCAAGACTCATAGGAGGGCTGGCGATACATAGCAGGCTGAGCCCAAGCCCACATGTAGTGGTTAAAAACTGGGAGGGTTATCTTGGCTGTGGATCCACAAGGAGCGAGGGATTCCAGTGTCAGGAAGAGAAGTCCCCATCATTTCTGGCAATAAAACCGGACTGTGGCTGAGTGAGAAGGAGGGCTGCTGAAGGGCCCCTCCAAAGGCTTAATCAGACTCATTCTAGCTTCAGAGCTGGACCAACAGTTCGAAAAGCACTAGCAACATATGGGAAGGGACTGAAGTGTATGACATCACAGCAAGAGCTGGAGAGACAGCTTTCTCCCAGAAAGAAGTGCTGGCAGAATCCATTGTTCCTTTTCTGAGCCCTCTCACACTGAGCACCTCCTCTGGGCTCCTCCAAGTCTAGCACAAGGAGCAACACCTGCAGATCACTCTGTAGCTCATGCAGGCTGGCCCTTGGCAGGCAGCAGGTGGTGGCTGACTTTGCAACTCCCAGAAGGCCTCAGAGACACGCAGTAGCCAGCTTCAGACCACACCAGATTACAACCCAATCACCAATACAAGCAACCCACACAAGCAGCAGGCTCAGTTGGCACCAGAGCCCCAGTGAAGCAAGTTCTGCTCCCTGGGGTCAGCCCCTGCACAGCAGCTCCTCTGCTGTAGTTAGAGCCATTCCTCACAATTGACTGACTTTCCAATGATGTGTGAACAGCAATCAAAGCTCAACTACTACTACAGGAGGATGCACACCTGGAGCATCCAGCGCAGGTGACTGGAGAGGCTGTGTCAGTGGGCCCTACAGGACACCTCCTACATGAGGCCACTCTACCAATTCCAGGGGATGTAGCAGCTCTACCTAATCTGCAGAAACAAACACGAGGAAGCAGCCAAAATGAGGAGATAAAGACACATGACACAAATGAAAAAAAAGAGAAACAGGAGAAATCTCCAGGAATAAAGCTAAATGAAATGGTGGCAAGCAAATTACCTGATACAGAGTTCAAAGCAATGGTTACAAGGATGCTCAATGAACTTAGTGAGAACTTCAAATGCATAAATGAGGACATGGAAATCATAAAAAAGAACCTGTTAGAAATGAAGAATATACTAACTGAAATGAAGAACAAGTTACATGGAATTAACAGTACAGTAGATGAAGCAGATAATCAAATCGGAGTTTTGGAATATAAGGAACCAGAAAAAAACTCAATCAAAAGTGAAATGAATCTAAAAAAAATGAGGATGGTGTAAGAAGCCTCTGGGACAACTTCAAGTGTACCAACATTCACATCATGTGATTGCTGGAATAAGAAGAGACAGAGCAAGAAACTGAAAACTTATTTGAAAAAAAATGACAAAAAACTTCCCTAATCTGATGAAGGAAATAGACATGTAAGTCCAGGAAGTGCAGCGTCCCAAACAAAATGAACCCAAAGAGGCCCATACAGTACACATCATAATTAAAATGTAAAAAGTTAAAGACAAAGAGAGAATCTTAAAAGCAGCAAGTGAAAAGCAGTTAATTACCTACAGGGGAGCCCCATAAGACTGTCAGCTGATTTATCAACAGAAACTTTGCAGGCAAGAAGGGAGTGACAAGAAATATTTAAAGTGATGAAAAGCAAGTTACCTTACCCAGCAAAGCTATCATTCAGAATCAAAGGACAAGTAAAGAGCTTCCCAGACAAAGAAAAGCTGAGTTCATCACCCCTAAAACAATATTAGATGAAATGTTAAAGGGTCTTCCTGTAGAAAAAGGAGAATTAAAAAAAAAGATCAAATTTATTAATAAAATGGCAATAAGTACATGTCTATCAATAATTACTTTAAATGCAAATGGATTAAATACTCCAATTAAAAGACATACATTGACTGAATGGTTAACAAAACAAGACCCTTACATATGCTGTCTAAAACAGACTCACTTCAGATCGAAAGATACACACAAACTGAAAGTAAAGGGATAGAAAAAAATATTTCATAAAAATGGTAATAACAAACAAAAAAGCTTATGCCAGACAAAATAGACTTTAAAACAAAGGCTATAACAAGAGACAAAGAAGGATCCAGCAAATCCACGTCTGAGTATTTATCCGAAGAAACCCAAAGGACTAAATTGAAAAGAAATGTGCATCCCTATGTTCACAGCAGCACAATTTATAATAGCCGAGACATGGAAGCAACCTAAGTCTATCAGTAAATGAACAGATAAAGAAGAGGTGGTATATACAGAATGTAACTCAGCCATAAAAAAGAATGAAATCTTGTCATTTGCAACAATATGAATGCACCTAGAGGTTAATGTGCTAAGTGAAATAAGTTAGACAGAGAAAGACAAATGCCAGATAATTTCACTTAAATGTGGAATTTAAAAAACAAAATAAACAAACAAGCGGAACAGGAAAAGGTTCATAAATACAGAGAACATCATTGTCACATGAAAGAGGGGTTAAGGTGATGGGTGAAAAAGAGGAAGAGATTTAGAAATACAAGCTGGTAGTTACAGACAGTCATGGGGATATAAAGTGCAGTATAGGGAATGTAGTCAATAATATTGTAATATGTATATATGTTGTTAGATGGGTATAGATTCATCGAGGTGATCACTTCATAAGTTATATAATGTCTAATCACAGTGTCATACACCTGAAACTAATATATTATACATCAACCTGTAACTTAAAAATAAAAATTTTCATGAGAAAGAAAAGACACTATCAAAAAATAAAGTAAAAATTTCCCCTACAGAATGGGGGAAATTTTTGCAATCAGATATCTGATAAGGGTCTATTACCCAGCATACATAAGGAACTCTTACAACTCAACAACGAAAAGATAAACAACCCAATTTAAAAATAGAGAAGGGACTTGAACAGACATTTCTCTGAAGAGGATATATAACTGGCCAACAACCACATGAAAAGGTGATCAGCATCATATATCATTAGGAAAATGCAAATAAAAACCCCAATGAGGGGGTGGGCCGGAGCGAGGCTGCAGGGGCTGGAGGGTCACATTCTGGCTGCTGGCACTACGCAAGGAAAACCACATCCGGGGCAGCATTGCAGCCAGACCCCACACCGGGCCATCCCTGCCATTACCAGATGGTCCTCAGGGACAGCATGCAGCTCCCGCGCCCCTCCCCTCCCCCTGCCCTCTACAGTACAGTACCACCACCCAAGGAGGTACCAGGATCATCTATGACCGGAAGTTCCTGACAGCATGTCAGAATTTACCTGTGACCAAAACAATCCCATGGGACCTGCCCACTATTCGGGGGGTCACTAGCCCTGTAAGTGACGAGTCCCCCACAGAAGCCAGCCAGAACCACCTGTAAAGCCCACAGGTGGTGAAGAGTCACAGTTTGAGATAGACATTTAAAGGACCAGCCATCAGATCAAGCAATGACTCAGGCCTCTCTGGCCCTTCTCCAAAGAGTCACACTGCCAATTATCACCCTGGGTAGGCAATGGGTGTGGGGTCAGCCACCCTAATCCTCTGCTCCCTCAGTCAGGGCACCTGCTGCCCCTTACTCTTGGTGAACACCAGCAGACAACTCTTTATGCCTCCATTCATGCAGGAGCTGGCACCCCAAGGGGAGCTACTCTCAAGAGACACATCCTGCAGTCTAAGCCAGGAACTGGACTTGGGAGACCCCTTCTGAATGATCATTCTGCTCCCTTCCACTGAGGGCACACCACCCATTTGCTAGGTTTGTGTGCTTGGGAAAGTTGCCCTCCCCTACTTCAACAGAGGAAATAAAAGCCACCTTTGCCCTTGGGCAAAAACAAAAAAACACACACAATGAGAGCCGAAACCAGTTTGGCTCAGTGGATAGTGTGTTGGCCTGCGGACTGAAAGGTCCCAGGTTCGATTCCAGACAAGGGCATGTACCTTGGTTGTGGGCACATCCCCAGTAGGGGGTGTGCAAGAGGCAGCTGATTGATGATTCTCTCTCATCGATATTTCTCTCTATACCTCTCTCTTCCTCTCTGTAGAAAATCAATAAAATATATTTTAAAAATCAAACAAACAAACAAACAAACAAAACAAAAAAACCCACAAATTGAGATATCACTTCACACTCACTAGGATGGCCACAATAAAAAAACAGAAAATAAAAAATGTTGGCAAGAAGGGAAAGAAATTGTAACCCTCATCTATTTGTTGTGAGAAATAAAGACAATGTAGCTGCCATGGAAAACAGTTTGATAGTTCCTTAGAAAGTTAAAGAGAATTACCATATGCCCTAGCATTTCCACTTCTAGTTATATAACCCAAAAGAAATGAAAAGAGGTTATTAAAAAAAAAATTTATACATGAATAGTCACAGCAGGACTACTTAATAATGGCCAAAAGATAGAAACAACCCAAATGTCTACTGATAGATAAATAGGCAAACAAAATGTGGTCCATACAAGTAATGGAATAATATTCAGCCATAAAAAGGAATGAAGGACTGATACACACTGCAGCATGGATGAGCCTTGAAACAATGCTAAAGGAAAGAAGTCTGTCACAAAAGGTGACATGCTCTATGATTCCATTCATGTCTAGATGAGGGGAATGTATAGAGACAGAAAGTGATTGCTTAGGACGGGGGTGGGGGGAGGGCGAGAGAAAGGGGTTCTTGGGGAGACAAGGGGAGATAGGGAAAAGCATGCGACATGTTTGTGTCAGATTTCTTAAAAGCAAGTATCAAGAGAAGGTTTCTACATTAAAGTTTTTAGAATTTAGAAATTGAGCATCAAGAGTTGGTAAGCACAATACAAAAAGAAATTTACAGCAATACATAAATAATTTGAGTAATAAGGTGGCAAAGTGTCCACAGAAGGGAGAAAATAGTCTCAGAAATGTTAGGAATTAAGGTAATATCCTTGCCTAAAGCAGTAAGAACTGTCCTCTTCTAGGAAAATATGTTACCATAAAATTTATACCATTACTAGAGGCCCGGTGCATGAATTTCATACACTGGTAGGGTGCCTAGGCCTGGCCAAGGATCAGGGCCAATTGGAGCCTTCCAGCTGCCAGCCAGGGCCTTCCTTCCCCGGCTGCCAGCTGCTGGCTGGAGCCTTCCTTGGTTCCGCACCACCCCCTGGTGGTCAGCGCACATCATAGTGAGCGATGGAACTCCTGGTCTCCTGGTTGAACTCCCGAGGAGATAATTTGCATATTAGCCTTTTATATATAGATAAATATAAAAATGTGTTATGTGTATTTTACCACAATTTAAAAAATGATGCTATCATGTAACAGACATCTGAAAAGGCAGCAGTGGTTGATCCATACACCTATTATGTGGCATTATGGAAATATATGCTCATTTACCTCTCTGACTGAGAATTCCTTCAGGCCTGAATATTTCTGGAGTCTCAAAGGCAAAAATGGAGTCGCTTTCGTGGACTGTTTCCAGGTCATCTGTGTCACAAAAGGAACGGTGGAACCCGTCATAGTACATTTCTGTTAACACAATCTAAAAATGGGGAAAATGTAAATAACTGAATAAGCAGAAAGTCAATATGAATGGATCTCCTAATTCTCCAGGAATTTCCCCAGACCATCAGGACCTAACTTGTGAGGCCTCTGACACATCACAGGGCCCACATTATTTTCCTTTAATAAGAGAATCTTGGAAGCACAGCATCCCGTCACTGAAGAGCAATGTATTTTGTTCTCAGAATGTGGTGGCACTAAACCCAGAGTTCCTCTGAGTTCTGGTGGAGAAGAGACCCAGGAGATGGTAGTCACCCCAGTTTCACAGGGGAAGAAACTAGAAAAGGCAGTGACCTGCCTGAGGTTATACAAATATTCAATCTCTGGCAATGACAGAGTCCACATCTGGCTCCAAGATTGACTCCTACATCATTAAATTTTCTTACTTCCAGGTTAAAAAATGTCAAATAATCATCAATATGTGTATTGGGAAAAAATGTAAACCCACTCAAATGTCCAACAATAGGAACTACTTAAATATATTATAGCCCTATTGGAATTATAAAGCTATTATAAAGAATGAACTATAAATAACTGCATTAACATGAAAAAAAAAATCTCCTAAGTAAATAAGAAGCAAGGTAATGAACAATGAGTTCATTTTTATAAAACAATAAATGTATACTCACAGGAAAAAAAACAAAATGAATTTACAGTATAAAATTAAAGTTAGTTCTTAGATACTTTATATGAGATACTTTCTAAGTTTTGTTTCTGAAATGGTTGAGTTTGCACAGTAACTCAGAAAAACAAAAGATGGGTAAAACAATGGAGACATTCAGGGACTTGGTTACATGCTCAGCAGCACTGTCTAGTGGAAAAGCACTGGATTGGTTGGGCATGAGGAGTTCCAGTCCCGGCCTGCCACCAACTGGCCCTGTGACCTTGAACAAGTCACATGGTTTTTCTGAGCCTCCTTCCAATGAAGGGTTTGGACTGGACCCCTTTGGTTTCCTTTACTAACACAAACATAATGAGTCTGTGAGGTGACAGGGGATGGTGGCAGAGTCCACAAACAGCCCAAGGAAAATACTCCTGGCATATGTTCTGTCCATGACTTTAATGACCACATTGTTTTTCTGCAGGCGAACATGTACACATAAGTCACTTTCTCCAGCAAGAACAATGAAGTCAAAAAAACTTATAATTGTATCACTCATCCAAAGTGCATACAAAAAGAACCAGACATTACTGAGAGCTTTAAAGAGACAACGAGATTTGCCTTGGACACACACCCAAGTCTCCCTCCCTCTCTGCCTTTCCCCTTATCTTGAAAGAAAAAAGCGAATCAATGTGCTCTTAAGTATAAGGAAAAATGTAAACACTTTATAAATGTACCAGTGCTGGGTCTATGAAAATGTGTGATATTTGCTTCTTAGGGCAACACTACTATTTGTTTTACTGTAGTAACTTCCGAAATGAGGCTGTTGGCAGTCCAAGTACATAAGAGCTTTCCTATGTAAGTATGGAAGCTTCCAGAAGTGATCTACTCAGTCACTGAATCATCTTTCCTTAGTAAATCCTAATAGGGAATGTTTTTCCAAATAAACTCATAATAGTGAACTAAATAAAGAATGTATGCAAAAATATGTCATGCCACAAGCAGGCCAATTAAAATACCAAAAATTTACCCAAAATGATAGGGATACACAAATTTCTTTTTCTTATCTAAATAAAGTAAGAGATGGGTCCAGCTCTAACCAGAGAACAAACAGAGCTGAGCATCTATCGATATATGCAGGAACTAGCCAGGTACCCAATCTAATCACATGATGGCAAAGGGTTGTCAAGAGCCACTGCTCAGGCTCTCTAAGCCTCTTTGGCTTTCAAATACCACAGGGATGTTCTTCCCATATAAGCCTCCATCCAGATGATTAGGAGGGCTAAGTAATTATAAATAAAGTCACAGCTTTTCCTTTTAAAATTGTACTAGTACACACAATTTAAGAAACATGGAAAGGTTTTGAGTACAGTTTTCTTCTCTGGGTCTTAATTTTCCTTTTCCTCACCACAGAAGCAACTGGTTTGACATTTCTATCTAACCATACTTGGCAGAGAACTGTTAAAAATCCCCGAGGACAGAAAGCACCCTTCCAGGCTCCTTGTGCAGTCGGTGTTCGCAGGCGTATACCTGGTCAGTGGGGATCTTTGTTTCCAGAGACACTGCTTCCCGGAGTCTGGCGACAGTCCCAGACAGAGGCACGGCCACGCCAATCCGCATGCAGTGTGAACACTTCCCTTGATACACTACGGTGACATAGAGAGGCCTGTACAGATCAAAGTCACATCTTCTTATTAGTTGCTTATTTCAACTAAAATATAGAAGCAAAACACACCTGATTGGAAATCAACATAAAACTGAAGTTAACCCACACCTTTATTTAGACCTAAGTAAAACTCTCAAACAATAATTAAGCGACCTCTGGAAAAGGTTAGCTTCAAAAAACAAAAGTATAACATATCAATACTTGGAAGTCTTGAGAAACAGTTCAAATAAAGCAATTAACTAAAAGTGCAAGGTGAGGTTCTAGGGAATCTAAAAGGCACTCAACAGCCCTTCTCTTTCCCCATGCTGTGGATGATGACCAAGTGAACACACACACCTGTCGCATGCACCCTGCAATCTCAAACAGGCGTGCATAAATTCCTGTAAGGTTTTAACAATGCTTGTAAGTAACATATCATTAATCCCATTATTTGTCTAAATAAGTAAGCCTGCAAGAGCCTACAGAGGAAAAGGAACACAGAGAAATGTGCCACCTTAATTTTATTAAATCTGTTCTTACCTTGTGTAGGGTAGAGGGATTGGCAAAGAAATGCAGAGGAAGGGGTCAAAAGTGTTGCTCTGCTTCTGACAATGAGGACATGTCAGGGAGGATCTTCAAAAAACAAAATGTAAGACACCCACATTACGATCACCTACAACCACATACGCAGGCAACATAAAGGAAATTTAATTTGCTCATACCTGTATTGGGCTTGAAAAAGTTCTTGTACAAAAGTGCTACAGACAGGAAAAGATGGTCCCTCAGGCATCATATCAGACTCTGATGGTGGCTTAAAAGAAGAAAGTACAATTTCACAGACTAAAAGAACCAATTATTGACTGAAGATGACCCTGAAAGTGGCACAAATGTCCCTGACTTCTTATTCAGCTATGCATCAGGTCCAGATGTTCCAGGGAAAGGTATCTGCTAAAGGAACCAGAACACAGCTGCCAGGACGTGGGTCACAGAACTCATCTCTTCACAGCCCTCCCACATCTCCGTCTCTCCAGCCCCTCCAGGCAGTTCCTCCAATCTCCCTCCAACTCTCAATGTCCTGCTCTAACCTCTTCCAGGAAATTAATCCTGACCACGGAGTTCCTAGCATGTGTTAGCTGCTGATTTGGGTACTTAGTCACTCTACTTTATATTTCACTAACCTTTCCATGTCTCTCCACTAACAGTCACCAAGGACCTGCGATTACATGCAGAGAGCACGGAAGAGGGCTTTAGGGTACAAAAATAAGACACAGAGCCTGACTGACTTCCTGAGTCTGGTAGGGGAGAGAGTCAGCTACAAGCATAGAGTTCTATGACAGAACAGTGTTCAGGCACAAAAGGACCTTGAATTGGAATAATTTAACAACTTACCGAAACAAGAAATTTAAATTTTGAGGTACTGAGCAGAATTACCAAAAACTTTAAAAGCTGCAAGAGAAAGGCAACTCTTTTTTTTGTTCCTTTTAAATATTTTGTATTGATTTTTTTTACAGAGAGGAAGGGAGAGGGATAGAGAGCTAGAAACATCGATGAGAGAGAATCATCAATCAGCTGCCTCTTGCACAGCCCCTACTGGGAATGTGCCTGCAACCAAGGTACATGCCCCTTGACCGGAACTGAACCTGGGACCTTTCAGTCCGCAGGCAGACGCTCTATCCACTGAGCCAAACCGGTTTTGGCAAGAAAAGCAACTCTTTATCTTAATTACTTCCATTATAAAAATCATTTTACCCATCATAGTAAAGCTACATGCATAAAAATTGAGGATAAATCACTCTCAGTACGAATATTCTGGGGTTCAGTTCCTACACTTGTTCCTGTTTAACTATGTCCATTCCAGTGATCTAGGCTATGGGTCTCACTGGACTAGAAAGCAAGTGTTTGCTTTAATAACAGTTTAGTGAGGTGGAACCACTTAATTTTAGTCTAAAGTTACTCATTAGACTGTAAGCTCCTGGACGGTGCCTTTGGCACCTCAGGCTCCCAGCACAGTAGCCAGTGTGAGAAACCCTCTAAGTGCCCATGAAACTTACCCTCCCCTGGAGCTCACTCAATGCCATTACAGTAACTAAGTGCCGACTGCAGCAGCTCCTGAGAGGTTTGGGAGAACGGACCCTGGGCCCTGGCTCCGGGCTGCTGGGCGGGGCACCCTCACCTTCACAGGAGGCTGGCCGCTCTGCTTCAGCGCATGATTGAGGTCTTCGTGAACTCGGTCCAAAAGCCACAGCAGAAACTCCTGGGCATCGTGCTGGGAATTCCCCCGGTACTGCAGGGCATTCTTTGACACAATACTCTAGACAGACACAAATCAGCACGAAGAGTGTGAGTCCCAGCTCTGTGATAAACTGCTCCACTTCCCAAAGAGGGAGGGATGCAAGCTCTCAGGGTGTTAGAGGACTCCCCCGAAAGAGCAATGTAAAAGCAGGCGCTAAAAACAACTAAAAACCAACAGAAAACAGGTGCTCACTGTAAATTCACCCCCACGAACAGGCACCAAACACCTAAATATGCCTATCCCACTTTTAGGAATACAGCTAAAGGAAACCATCAAAATAGTCACGACATCTACGAGGATATTCATTCATCAGACCTTCTAATAACAAAAACAGGTAATAACTTGAACATCTTAAAAATGAGAATTTTTACAAGTACCACACTGTTACTTTGTAGACGCAAAACCACCAAAATGTTCTATGTCAATTAGCAAAAAAAGAATTGGTAGTATAAAATAAACAAGTATACATCATATAAATATTGAGTAAATAAATGGAAGAGACGAATCTTCCTTATAGAAGACTTTTAATTAATGTATGTCACTAATGCCCCTCCAGGAGTTGGACTTTTAGAATGGGCTATGATAGTGTCCTGCTTTCAAAGACTCGGATATGGGAGAGGGTAGCCAGGGAAAGGCTAAGCTGAACTGAAGTAAAATCATGGGCTCTGGAGCACGTAGCCTTGGTCCAAAATCTCTGTCCTGCCTCTTACTATGCGTGAGGTCTGGACTAACTCCCCTCCAAAGCGGGAAGGACAATGATTTAGTGTGATGGTTAAGTGAGAACGCATGCAAAACATTTCACATGTAAATGAGTAATTAAGCACTCAAATTCTGACTATGAATATTGGACTTGTAAAGTAGGGAGACAACTACACAAAGTGAAAGCAGTTCAGACAAATGAAATGATGAAGCATGAGATAATGGGGGTCTGAGCTAAAGCATGAGGGCAGAAATGTGAGGCCAAATCTGAGATTTCGAAATTAAAGAAGTAGAATCAATAGAACTGGGTGAGTTAATGGATGTGGGAAGTGAGGAAGAAGGCATTAGTGCCACCCAGGTGTCTATCTGGATGATGCTCAACTGGCGGTACCTGCATCAAGACAAAATAAAAAAGGAAGAAGTCTGGGAAAGAGAGTGATGAGTTAGTTCCCTTTCAAATCCACTGCATTTGCAGCTCTGCAGAACCTCCACGTAGAAGTACCTGGTAAACAAGTGAAAAATACAGATCTGGGCTCCATGGAAGTCTGTGATAAGGACAAGATTTGGAAATCACCAGATGAGTGGTAGTTAAAACCATTGAGTATGTCTGATCACCCAGACATAATCATGAGATGGAACCCAGAGGTCAGCTATATTTACGGAAGACCAAAAAAGTCATCAAAGATGTGGCAAAAAAATCAGGAGAATGGAGACCCCAAGAGTCAAGAGAAGAGACCCAGGCAGAAAGTGATCAATAGTATTCAAAGTTGAAGGATGAAGTAAACCAAAGAAATAAAAGCTGTCCATTGTATTATAGTTTTCCAATAAAGATCACGGTAACAGAAAGATACTTTACAAAGATTCAAATTTAGGAAGGAAAAACTCAGGACAAAAATGAGATCATATTGAGGTGTCATGGGCAAAACTTACTACTGATAAAGTGAGCAAGGAAAAGGAAGGGCCCTGAAGACAAACGAGGATGCCGCCTGGATGCCATCTCAGACGCAGTACAGAGGAGAGAGGCTATCCTCACCCAGTTTCCTCGGGGGGGGGGGGGGGGGGGGTCTTCACCACAGGACAAAACCTCTACCAGAGGTCAGGTGCCACCCAAATCACCAAGTCCAACTTCTTCTTTCTCAGCCCTCACCTTATTCAGTCTCCCTGTAGCAGTTTCTAAACTTGGTATCTTTCTTAATTTTGAAATGACTTGGTCTGTGGCCTTATGTTCTCATTTAGGAGAATCAAAACCAGAGCCATCGGTATGGACATTGCAAGAAGGTGAGCTACAAAAGAAAGAGAATTCCTAGTAAAGGAATGGATCAAGAAAAAACACCAGCACTAGCCACACTGACTCAGGATGGAAGAGAAACAAGTGACTGGTGGCGCTACCTTGCGGGAGACACCACGTTTTCAGTGTCTGACAGGCGACAATGACGCCGGAACAGCAGAAGACTGCAGCACTCTGGATGTGTTATGTTTGAGGAACCTACAGGATCCCAAGTGAGGTTAAGTGTGGTGCTCAGGAAGACACCTGAGCTGGAAGTTAAATCAGAGAATCATATCCCTATCCCATGAGCAGAGGCAATAACCCAGCCAGGACAGAACCTTGAAGAATGCTAGCACAGAAGGTACAAGTCACAGAAAAGAAGCCAAAAAGATAAGAGAGTGGCAGCACACAGACAGAGGGAGGGGAAACCTCCAGGGGCTGAAAGCAACAATGTCAACTACTGCAGGAAAGTAAAAAGGCAGGGAGACAGGTCCTTTGGAATGGCAAATGAAGAGGTTGCCTGCCTGTGCAATTTCAGTGGAGCAGACAGGGAGGGTGAAAGAAGACCACTCTTCATAGCCAAGAAGCTGAGTTTTGAAAGGAAGGAGAAAAGATGCTGTGACCCCCTAGAGGGGGACTGAGTGACACAGCAGAGGCACTTATAGGTGAGGGTAGAAGCTAACGAAAAGAGACACCTGAAGAAAGGCGATGCTTTTTCATTTTTATTTTTTTATTGGTTTTAAAGAGAGGAAAGAGAGAGAAAAGGAGAGAAACTTCATTGTGAGAAACATCTACCAGTTGCCTACTTCCCGCACACGCTCTGACCACGGATCCAAATCTGCAATCCAGGTTTGTGCCCTGACCAGGAATCGAGCATGCTACCTTTTGGTGTATGGGACAACTCGCAAACCAAGTGAGCCACCTGGCCAAGACAAGAAAGGTGATTCTTCAGTAAGCGGAGAAGGAGGGATTCAGAATAGGTAAACTGCCTTAAAAAGGAAGTGCGAGGACAGAAACAGAGGTAAGAATATGTAATGGTTGGGAGAAGTTACAGACAGGAAGGTGGGGAAGCTTGATGCGTATTGTTTGTGGAGGAAGCAGAGGACAACTGGCAAGAAGTCTTGTGTACAGCAAGGGGAGAAACAAGTATCATGGCACACGGCTGGATACACAAATGGCCAGAAGCATGACCAGCTTCTGTTGGGGACCCTCTCTCTGTTTCCAATGAGGACGCAGGGGAAGTCCTCAGCATCTGCATTCTAAGGAACAGATTAGCTTAACCTCAATGCTTCATTATATATCAGAGCAAATATTTATGGACAATGTCATCAAATTTCAGGGTGGAGTCAATATTAAGTTCTTTATCAGGCTTGCATTCAACTTGATTTATGCTTCCTGCCACTATCACTTCAACTCATCCAGCATTTACCCCAAATCACTATGTCCCAGGCGCTGTGCTAAAGCCACTCAGCAAGATTCTTGTGGGGCACGATGAAACAGGCCACCGGCACTTCCACAGCCCTCTGCAACTGGGGCAGACTGCTCTGGGTCCACCTCACCCTCAGTCATCACATCACAAACTGCAGGCAAGTCACAGGAGACCTCACTGCACACACAGACACAAAGGAAGGCTCCTCTTTCAGCGCCCAGTCCCCTCAGACAGACACACACACACACACACACACACACACACACACACACACACACACACGGCAGCACGACAGGGCCTGCCCCCAGGCAGGTGCTGCTCCTTGTGCCTGGCCCAGTCCCCTCAGGTCCCCAGCCGCCCAGGGCCGGCCCAAGGCTCAGGTAACCAGAACAGGGGAAGCGGCAGAGGTGTGATGGGGGTGTCGCCTTCCTCACCTGAGGGCTCCCGGACTGAGAGGGGGCAGGCCAGGCTGAGGGAAGTCCCCCTCCAGTACATGGATTTTCATACACTGGGCTTCTAGTAATCTAATAACCACCCTTAGTATGTTATAGGAGAAAGAAAATAGGGGTCAAAAACAAAACAAAACAAAACAAACAAACAAAAAACAGGGAGACTAGGCGGTGTGGCTGTGATTTAATGTCGCCCAGGCACCAGGAGATCACCAGTGCGATTCCTGGTCAGGGCACGTGCCCAGGCTGCAGCTTGATCTCCCAGTGGGAGGTATGCAGGAAGGCAGCCGATGGATGCTTCTCTCCCTCTCCCTTTCCCTCTCCCTCCCTCTAAAATCAATAAAAATATATTTAATTTTTTAAAAAAAGATAGTCACAAAACGTTGGATATGTTTTTATAAAAAAAGAAAAAATGAGTTATTTCTGGTACAGAGTTCCTTGACCTTTATAGACACAGAGTAACTCAAATCAAGATATCCCTGCATCCAAGTTCTCATGACCCAAATTCGGGAACTAAACAGACATGGAAAACAAGAGCTATCTGACTGCTGTAAAACTAACTTTGGAGATTAAATAAACTTGTATGTACCACAAAGACTTGGTGACAAATTCACTGCTTAGGATACAGACTAGGAAAAGGCATATATCTTGTCTAAAAGGGTTGAGAATGGATTACTCCATTTAAATAAATTATAACTAAAAGTAGAAGTATGGTCAAGAGCATTAGAGCCGGGATAAAAGGATGAAATATAAAAAAAGAAATTACGACAGTGGTTCAGCGAGATGAACAAGGAGCCAAGACTTCCCAACAGATAATAAAGCTATACCGGAACAAAACAGAGCAACAAGAGAAGACCCCCAAGTACGTAACAGTGGTCAGGAGTTCCCACTAGAAATGCAATAGAAACAGAGAGACTGGTCCTGAACACCTGAGTTTAAGTCTTCTTTCCACTTTTTACTTAGCATTTCTCTGAGCTTTGGCTATCTTTTCTGCAAAATGGTGATGGCAATATTTTTCTAAAAATATTGTGGCGCTTCAATCATAAAGCATCATAAATTCTAAAACTCTGTATGGCTGCTGTTACATAACTTTCAAAAGTCAAGAATAAAGAAAAGACATACCCTCTGGTGCTATAGGCCACCATATTTGGAAAATCCCAAAGAGAAAGCAAAG